GGGACGAGGGCAGGTCAGTCTCGACCGGCAGCAGGGACGAGGAGGCAGCCGAAAGTGCACGCACACCGTGTGGCCGGACTCCTCCCGTGCACTCGCACCGGCTAGTGGGCCCGGCGCACCGCTGCCCGCCGCGCCCGGCGCACCGCCTCCGGCCGGACCACCGCCGAGAATGACGACGAGGCCCTGGCCCTGCTGCATCCAGCCCCCGCCGCCGCCGGGTCCACCGCCCCCGCCGCCGCCGATGCGGATGCGGCCGAGCCCGCCATCAGGCGCGTCGGCGACCGGCGTCGAGACGGCGAGCTCGCGCAGGTCGCCGCCGATGACGCCGAACAGGCTGACGAGGAACCCGATCTCCTCGTCGACGACGTGCGGCGGCGGTGGTACCGGCGCGAAAAACTGCTCCGGGTCGAACGTGAACGCGAGCGACTCGATGCGCACGTCGCGCTCGGCCGTCGGGTCGTCGAGGACCTCGTCGGCGGCGAGGAGGGCGCCGAGCTCGGCGGCGCTGAGCGCCGTGCTGGGGAGCCACAGGCGGCGCAGCGAGCGCGTGACCGTCTTGAACGCCATGCCGCGCGCCGTGTGGTCGACCTCGCCGAGGACGTCGAGGCGCTCGAGCGCCGTCAAGTCGCACGCGAACGAGACGACGTCGGCGAGGCTGCACGGCGCGCCGTACACGAGCGTGCGCAGGCTCGACGCGAGCGACGTGACGATCGTCGCCGGGACGCTGACGCCGCCCGTGAGCGTCTCGAACGACGAGCGGCGCGCGCGCGAGAAGCGCTCGGACGAGCCGAACGAGCTCTCGCGCTCGCCCGACAGGACGAGCTCCTTGAGGTTGGGCGCCGCCGAGATGAGGTCGGGGAGCAAGAAGCCGGCGTCCTCGCTCGACCGACCGAGGGCGTACTCAAAGTCGAACGTGCGGAGCGTCATCGTCTGGAGCGCGGCGGCGCGGCGCGGGCGGTCGGCGTAGTACTTGGCGCGCTCCGGGATCTGCTTGATGTCGATGACGACGAGTTCGGCGTGGTACAGGGACGTGCACGCCTCCTTGAGCGAGGTCGACAGGGCGGCGAGGCGCGGGAGGAGCCGCCAGAACAGCCACAGACCGTGTCGCGCCGAGTAGCTGCCGTCGTCGGGGCCCTCGGACGCCGCCATAGCGCGCAGCTCAAGGAGGATGAGACGGAGGATGTCGAACGGGAGGTCGGCGAACGCCGCGCGAGGCCGGCGAGGAGGGGTGAAGTCGCGGCTGGTGGAGGAGAAGACGGGGCTGGGAGCGAAGGGGGGTATCGCCGGTCGAGCCGTCGAGTGCGAGAGCGACTCGGACATGCGCGAAACTTGATCCATGAGGTTGATCACGTCGCTCCTTGAGGCGGGCACTTCGAGGACTGCACGGGTGCGACGAGGACGAGGTCAGTGCCATCGACCGCTGGCACCGGGAGAGGGCGGGGGACGACAAGCTCGAGAGGGTGGACGCACAGCTCTCGACCGTGCGCATCATGTCGCTGCACAGCTCCTGGGCCTCCTGCGTCGTCATGACGACCTCGCCATCTCCCCTCTGAATCCGGCCCTCGAGGATGACGGCCCACTTCTCGAGAGACGACGCGGCGTGCTCGCCGTTGTGGTACGCGAGCGCACCACTGGCGCCAGTGCTGGACGAGGTGCCCGCAGCGGGAGGGCGAGGGTCGTTGGCGGCGCGTGCTGGAGCCGAGCGGCGCGGGCGGATCGGGGCACGCAGCTCGGTGGGCGAGTCGAGGTCGGTGGGGGCGCTGCGCTTGCTGCCTGCTGCCATGTTGCGCTGCTCGACAGCGTTGTCGGAGCGAGGGAGAGGTCGAGGAGCGAAGGGGAGGACGACAAAGGAGGCGGTGCTGGCTCGGCCGCTTTGTTCATCCGTCTCGCATTTACGGGCGGTCCTGCCTCGCTGGCACCGTTGATGGGGGTCAGATGTAGCTATTGCACCCTGGACTAGCACAGACGAAGTGACGAAGCCGACCGCAAGATCTCGCTCGACTGCCGCCTCGCCGACCTCGAGCCTCACTCGAGCCGCGGCTGCTGGCGCAGGCCTTCTACCGGCGCACTACACTCCTCGAGCTAGGCACGAGCGCGAAAGATGGAGGAAAGAGCCCGACTGGGCGACCGTCGCCGTCGCGAACACTCACGCGAGGCAGTCGGGCGACCCGTGCGCCGCCCTCGCCAGCTGCGTAGTCGTGCCTCGACGTCGGGCGGGCACAGGGGGTCTGTCCAACGCTCTGGAGGGACGAAGCGCCGAAGCAGAGGCGTGCGGCTGCTGGCCCGAGCGGCGAGAAGCGGGTTTCGGCTCGGACGGAGCCCTGTCGACGGGCGACGGCGCGGCCACTCGAGGGAGAGGCACGCCCAGAGGCCGGCATAGCCCTTTAGAAGGACATGCGCAGTCCCGAGAGGGCTCAAGCGAGCGCGAGACGAGCGCGAGACGAGCTCGAGGAGAGCGGAGAGAGGGACGAGTGTGGTCGAGGACGCAGGCTCGTGCTGTGCTGGCGAGACGCCGCTCGCCGGGTCGCGCAAGAGTAGAGCGCAAGTCTCGGCGCGAATGCTTGCCCGTGCGCTTGACCGTGCCGGGAGAACGAGAAGCTGCACGCGGAGGAGGACGAGCGGCGCGGCACGCGAGCACCCCACAAGCTGAGTAGGCCGGAGCTCATGCGCATAGCTGAGCCCAATTTCGGCATGTGCGAGCTGGCGCGGCACCTGCAGCAGCGAGGACGACGAGGGCGAGATGCTGGAGGGAGCGAACCGAGAGGACCAGCTGCTTGGTTCGACACCACCCGCTCCACTCGCACAGCCGAGCTCGCTCGCCGCCCAGCACATCAGCAGAGCTACTATCGACACGCACGGCGCAGTCACGACCCGGCAAGAGCCGTCCTCACTAACTCCTCCTCCTCCTTCATCAGGCCCGTCGTCGCCTCGAGCCCTTCGTCCTCACGGCCAACCATGAGCAGCAAGTGGCCGCCCGCTCTCAAGTGCGTCCCCTCTCCCTCTCAACTCGGTCCTCGAGCGCGCAACTGACAGCTCTCTCCTCCCCGCCGCCCCTCCCCTCAGAGCGTTCGTCAACGAGACGTTCGCCAAGTGCACCGACGCCAACCGCCAGGCCGTCGAGCTCGAGCTCAAGCAGGTCATCTACCAGGCGTTTGAGAAGGGTCAGCTGCACAGCACCGACTGGAAGAACTACAAGCTCAAGAGGTGCGTCCCCGCTTTCCTCCTTCCCTCCCTCGCATCGCTGGGCTCGGGACGCCGGCTGACCTCATTCGCCGCTCGCAGCCTCAGCCCTCCGACCAAGCGCAAGTGCGTCCACCCTGCCCACCTACCGCGCCGGACCTCGGGCCACTTCCTGACCTCGATCTTCGCCCCGTAGAGCGTTCCTCCCGTCCACGCCCGCCTCGAACGGCATCACGCCCGGCCTCCCCGACGAGGAGGACCGACGGGCAAAACGCGCCAAGCGCTTCGAGCAGGAGCAGATGCAGAGCCAGGCGGGCGGGTCGCTCGCGGGGAGGATGGCGCAGGGCAGACTCGTCCAGGGAGGGGTGCACTCGTACGGCGGCGCAGCGGGAGCGTACGGCGGGGCGGGCATGGCGATGGACACAGACGCGGTTTACGACCCCGTACGCCCTCTTTCCTCTCTGTCCTCGTCGCGCAGCTCGCCGAGCTGACCCATTCCTCGACTGTCCGCAGAACGTCATCGACTGGGACCAGCACACGATCGTCGGCAAGAGCCAAAAGCTCGAAAAGCCCTATCTGCGACTCACGACCGTGCGTCCCCTCTCTCTCGAGTCCGCCGTCGTCCTTGCCCGCCCTGACCCCCTGCCTCGACTCGCCGCAGCTGCCCGACCCGAACACGATCCGCCCGCTCGAGGTGCTCAAGCAGACGCTCGAGCTCATCAAGAAGAAGTGGCGAGAAGAGAGCAACTACGGCTACATCTGCGACCAGTTCAAGTCGATGCGCCAGGACCTCATCGTGCGTCCACCCTCTCTCGCTCGAGCCTCTTCTTCCCTCGTCTCGGCGCTCACCGGCGCTTTCTCGTCGCCGCCACGACAGGTTCAGCGCATCACGAACGACTTTACGGTGCAGGTGTACGAGATCCACGCGCGGATAGCGCTCGAGAAGGTGCGTCCCGCGTCGTCCGTCCTCTCGATCATCCCGGACTGACTCGTCCTCTCTCTCCATCTCGCAGGGCGACCTCGGCGAGTTCAACCAGTGCCAGTCTCGGCTGCATCAGCTGTACCGCCTCGGCCTCGGCGGCCATCCGCAAGAGTTCCTCGGCTACCGCATCCTGTACCTCCTCTTCTCTCGCGCTCGAGCCGGTGCGTCCTCTTTCTCTCTCTCTCGCCCTCCCTCTCTACTCCTCGACTGACTCGTATAACCTCCCGCAGAGCTCAACTCGACGCTCGCCGACCTCACGCCCGAGCAGACCCGGGACAACTCGGTCGCGCACGCCCTCTCTGTCCGGCTCGCCCTGTCGCAGGGCAACTACACCAAGTTCTTCCGCCTCTTCGCCAGTGCGCCCAAGATGGGAGCTTACGTCATGGATCACTTTGTCGCTCGCGAGCGCGTCACGGCGCTCGTCACCATGTGCAAGGCGTGCGTCCATCTTTCTCCTCCTTCTTCCGCTCCCTCCCTCCTCTCCCTCCCTCCTCTCCCTCTCTCCTCCTTCCCTCTCGCTCCGCTCTTGCTCTCTCGCTCGGACCTTCCTCCCTCGCTCGGACCTTCCTCCCTCGCGCCGAACTGACCTCGTTCCCTCGTCACGCAGATACTCGCAGGGCCTGCCGCTCTCCCTCGTCCGCTCCCAGCTCGGCTTCGACACGCCCGAGGAGGCGCACGACTTTCTCTCGGGCCACAACGCGGCGCTGTACAAGGACGCGCCGCTCGGCACGCAGGTCGGCGACCGGCAGCTCGACGCCAAGCGCGCGAGCGGACCCCTCGCCGACGTGCTGCAGAAGTTTCAGGTGTCAGACCTCAAGGGCCAGATCTGACCGGTAGGCCGCCCTCTTTCCCTCTCTCTCTCTCTCGTGTCTGACGTCCCGTCCCTCGATCGCGGTCCCCCGTCCTCCCTCCCTCTCTCCGTCGTCGTCCCTTCTCGTCCCTCTCTGTCTTGTCCCTTGTGCAGTAGCCTTTCCTCCTCTCTCTGCAACTTCGCAACACATTCCTCGTCACGCAAATCTCGTCTCGACGATGCAGAGAAGACCAAGCTAGCAAAGATCCGGCTGCCCCTCGCGCCCCTCGCTCGGCGCGCTCAGGCCCTCGAGCTCTTCCTCCTCTTGAGCTTCGCCGCCGGCGCCGTTGGCTGCGGCGGCGGCGCGAGCGGCGGAAGACCACCGAGGCCGAGCTCGGCGCCGAACAGCTCGGTCGCTCGCCGCTTCGTGCGCGCCCGCAAGCCGTACTTGGGCGTCTTGCCCGCTCCTCCCGACGTCGGCGGCGGCGCGTTCTCCTTGTCGGCCACGTCGACCGGCTCGACGAGGAGCGCGTCGGCGCTGCCCCACACGGCTGCGAGCGCCTCGGTCGTCGAGTTGCGCTGCCGAGCCTGCCGAGCCGGCTCGGCGGACGTGGTCGCGCTGCGCCGCCACTCGAGGACGCGCGCCTGCAGGGTCTCCTCGCTGGCGGGACGTCTCGTCTCGTCGTCCTTGATGACGGCGAGAGGCGGGACGGGGGCGTCGGGCGTGTGGGGCGACGGCGCGGCGAGTTCGAGGAACGGGTTCGAGAGGTGGATCGACGGTCGAACGAGGGCGGACCAGTCGGGGAAGGGCGGCGAGAGGAAAAGGAGCGGCGGCATGTGCGTGATGAGGGAAGGGGGAGCGTCAAAGGGAGGGCGGAAGAGCGGCTTGTACGGCGATGGCGAGGAGGACGAGGACGAGGGGGAAAGAGGAGCGCATGGGGCGCAGGCTGCGTCGTGCGGGCCGAGGTGACATTCTGCAGGACCGTCAACCGGTTAGGGCACTCGTCGAGAGAGAGTCGAGAGACAGAGAGACGCACCTTGGGCGTGCGTGCACCACCTCGACCAGTCGGCCTCCCACTGCGCGCACCACTCGCCCGGGAGGGTCCACGTCACCGCCGCGACGACCCAGGTCCGGCACATGCCGCACAGGCCGTCCTCGATCTTGCCGAGGCACGAGACGACTGTCGAGGAGCGCATGGCCACGGGCGGAAGAGGGAGAGAGGCGAAAGGGTCGTGCGGCGTGGGCTCGACGGTGCGCGAGCTGGCGCGCGAGAGGCTGGCTCGCGTCTCGGTCGCCGAGAGGTCGAACTCGTCGCCCTCGCTCGCGCGGTCGCCGTGCGACGCCTCGTCGTTGTCCAAGTAGACCGAGGGGAAGTAGTCGCAGGCCGGCGGCTCGAGGAAGGGCGCGGCGACGGTCGAAGAAGCGAGGGTGGTCGCGAGGAAAGGAGCGTGAGGGGGTCGAGAGGGTTGCCAAGGTTGCCTGGCGGCCGTGACGCGGGGCGGTGGGCTTGTTGTGCGCTGGAGTCATGTGGGCGTGCAGGCGTGCATCGGCGAGGCGTGCTGGGCGACGGCGAGGTGGGCGAGGAGGGAAAGGCCCGGGGCGGAGCCGGGGTCAGGGAGCGTAACGGCTGTGCGAGAGGGCGAGTCGAGCACGCCAGAGGAGCCACTGAGGCTCATGGCGGCGGTAGGCGCTGATGCGCGCTCGGGCAAGGCGAGGCGAGCTGAGAGAGGGCGAGAGGTTGAAGGAAGAGGGAGAGCGCGGAGGCGCGCGAGCGCTCGAGCCCGCCGCGCATCGAACCCGAGGGCGCTCGCAGCCCGTGCGCGCCCAGGTTCGCCGGCTTGTGGAAGCCACCTACGCTCGCCGCAGAGGCGCGACCGCGCGAAGACGCTGCAGCGCGAGGAGCATGAGGCGACTTGCCGCGAGCTCGCCTCGTCAGAGCGGATCGACGCTGTCCGAGAGTAGCGCAGGTACTCTCTCGAGCGCCCCGGCAGAGATCCCACCCCTCGCAACGGCACCTCGCACTGCGAGAGTCGAGAAGTGATGAGCCTGCCAGTGGCTCTCCTGCCCACGGCTCGTGCCAGACAGCGAGGAGCGCGTCACTGCAGCTCGCGAGTCGAGTATACACTCCAGGCGGCCGCTCAGGGCTGCAGACGATCCGCACGAGGGAGAGTGGTCGTGAGGAGGAGGAGGAGGAGAGTCGGCTCGCAGCATCCTGATCAGCTCCCCGTTCGACCACTCACCGCTGCTGAGCGTCGTGCCCGACTATGCGCGCCTTGTCAGTGCTCTCGAACGAGCTGGGGCTACACCACATCCGCGACTCGCACTCGCCTCGCGACGTCGCCCTCATCATCTCGTCTCGCTTCGTCCGACTTCTCGGGTACGTCCCACGCTCGCCTGCAGTATCTGGTCCCAGGAACGAGTCGAGAGTGGGATGTCCTACTGACAACTGACTCGCCGTGCGCAGCTTTGGCGCCGTCGCCCCAATCCTCCTCATCCACCTGCGCGCACTCGACATCCCGGAGCGCGCGGTCGGCTTCTTCCTCACGGCAACCCTCCTCGGCGATGTCGTCCTGTCTTTGTGCGTCACGCAGTCGGCCGACGCTGTTGGCCGACGCAGAATGCTGGCGGTCGGGTCCACCCTCATGTGCGCGTCCGGCATCGCCTTCTACCTCTCGTCGACTTTCACGGTCCTCCTCGTCGCGGCAATCGTGGGCGTCATCTCGACGACGGGCAACGAGACGGGGCCGTTCGCGGCGCTTGAGGAGGCAATGCTCTGTCAGCTCACCGAGCAAGACGGGCGAGTCTCGGTGCGTCCCCTCCCCCTTCGTTCCCTCGACTCGCCGCGCGACCTCAACTGACGAGCCTGTCGCCCTCCCGCAGCTCCTTTCATGGTACCAGGTCGTCGGCTACGCCGGCATGGGGACAGGCAGCGTCCTCACGAGCATCATCGTGTCGAGCCTCACTCGAGCGGGCCAACCTGCCGCCGTCGCCTACAAGGCCATCTTCCTCCTGTACGCCATCGCGGCCGCCGTCAAGATCGTGCTGTCACTCGCGTTGAGCGCACACGCCGAGCTCGACCATCCGCCTGCACCGCCCAAGGCGTCGTCGGCCCCGCCGACCGGGGGCGACCGCGAGCGGCAACCGCTTCTGCAGCACCAAACGGCCGGCTCGACCGCCTCGGCCGTCCTCGACCCGCCAGAAGATGTCGCCCCTGTGCCTGCACGCGTCCCGATCGCCCGCCTCACCATCCTCTGCGCCATCTTCTCGCTCGACGCGTTTGCCTCGTCCCTCGGGCCGGGCTCCTTCATCGCCTACTTCCTGCGCGAGACGTTCGCCGCTCCTGTCGCCCTCATCGCGTCCATCTTCTCGGTCACGTCGGTCGTGACCTGCGTGTCGCAGCTCGCGGCGCCCTCGATCGCTAAGCGGCTCGGTATCGTCACGACTATGGTCACGACCCATGTGCGTCCCTGCAGCCCTCTCTTGCCTGTCGACGGTCACTGTGCGCGTCCTGACGGCTCGACGTCCCACAGATCCCGGCGCAGCTCTTCACGATCGCGCTCGGGCTCGCGCCAACCTTGCCACTCGCCCTCACCTTCCTTCTCGCCCGGGCCTGCATCGCCTCGATGGACGCCTCGGTTCGAGGTGCGTCCTCTAATTCTCCCGACCGTCGAGCACGAGTGTGAGGACTGCCGCACCCTGACACTGACCCGTCGTCGTTCGAGCAGGCGCTTTCCTCGCTGCCGTCGTGCCCAAAGCGTCTCGCACCAAGTTCCTCGGCAGTACGTCCTCTCTCTCTCTCTCGTCTTTCTCTGAGCGTGCCTCGAGAAGCTCCAAGGTCTCGAGTACTGACTGTGGCCCTCCAGTCGTGAACGTCTGCAAGACCCTCGCCTCAACCCCGGGCCCGACGCTCTCGCTCGGCCTCGCCAGCCTCGGGCACATGCGCCTCGCCATCATGCTCATGGGCGGGATCAAGATCATCTGTGCGTCCCCTCCTTCCTCTCTTCAAGTCGAGCCGTCGTGTCCTTGCGCGTGCCGCCTGACCTTGCCCGACCTTCCCCTTCCCCCTCCCTTCTTTCTTCCTCTCGCTCGCCTCGACCAGACGACATCGTCCTCCTCGCCCTCTTCAAGAGCGCGCCTCTCGAGCACTAGATAGATGAGGCGGCGGCGAAATCAGTTGACGAGAGGAGAGCCGCCGTCCGTCCGATCGGTCCGAGGAGACGGACAGAAGACCTCGTCCCGCACGCACCGCTTGCTCGGCGTCCTGCCCGCCTTCTCGGCCGCCTCGTCGTCTTCTCCGCTCCTCGGAAAAAGCTGCCTGACTCGACGCTATCGGTCCGGCGGGCAGGCCTCGCGCCCGAAAATCGCGGCGCTCGCTCGTCCGCCGGACCTGCGCTTCCCACACGCTCGCCTTCAGCTTCTGCTCGACCTCGCCGCCTCTCGTCTTCTCTGCTCCTCGCTCGACGGCTGCTGCTTGTTCTCGTCCTCAACCGCGACATGGCGCCCGTCCTGAGCCGGCTTGGGGAGGAGCTCGGCTTTGCAGCCCTCGCTCGCGCGCACTCGCCGCGGGACGTCGGTCTCTTGATCACCAGCAGATTCGTCCGTTTGATCGGGTGCGTCTCCTTCTCCCTCTTCTTCCATCCCCATCGCTCGTCGGACGAGACCTGACCTTGTTTCGCGCACGACGACGCAGATTCGGCGCGGTCGCACCGCTCCTCGTCCTGTACCTCAACCTCTGCGGCTTCTCGGACCGCTCGGCGGGTCTGTTCCTCACCCTCACCCTCTTGGGCGACGTCGTGCTGTCGCTCGGCGTGTCGTGGGTGGCGGACAGCGTCGGACGGAGACGAGTTCTCGCTCTCGGGAGCGCGTTGATGGCCTGCAGCGGGGTGCGTCCCCTCTCTCCTCTCTCGAGTGGACGTCTACGAGCCTCGACTGACGTGCGACGTATCCAACGCAGTTCGCCTTTTACCTGTCGAGGAACTACACGGTCTTGCTCGTCGCGGCGACGTTCGGCGTCATCTCCCCGTGCGTCCTCTTTTCTCGTCTGTCGCACGGGCGCCGAGCACTCACTGATTCTCGAGGCTGCGCGCAGGTCGGGCAACGAGGTCGGGCCGTTCAGCTCGGTCGAGATCAGCACCCTGAGCCAGCTCGTCCAGCCCGAGGACCGTGTCTTCGTGCGTGCCCTCTCGCTCGGACCCACCAGGCGTATCTTTACAGACCCTGCACCCCCCAGGTCCTCATGAACTACCAAGTACTCGGCTTTGTCGGCCTCGCCCTCGGGTCGGTCGCGTCGGGGTCGCTCGTGACGGCGCTCGAGCGCGACAACTCGGCGCACGAGAGCTACCGGTTCGTCTTTGCGTGCTACGGCGCCATCGCGCTCGTCAAGATCGTCCTCAGCCTCGCCATGACACAGTTTGCCGAACTCGACCACCCGCCGTTTCCCGTTCGAGGGGGCGCGAGCGCGCACGACGAGTCGGACGACGAGACGCTCACCGGGACGCCGACCGAGCAGTCGCCTCTCCTCGCCGTCCCTGGTCGCCCACTCGTCGGCCGCACCTCGAGCACGACGCCGCACGTCGTCGACCCGTCGACCAAGCTCGACCTGCCGTCCGCCTCGTCCCAGTCGGCCTCGTCGCTCCCCCTCATGCGCCTCCTCCTCGTCGTCGCCCTCTTCTCGGTCGACTCGTTCGCGTCGTCCCTCACGCCGGCGTCGTACGTGTCGCTGTACTTCAAGTCGGTCTACAAGGCGTCGATTTCGACCATCTCGGCCGTCCTCGCCGGGTCGGCCCTCGGCGCCGTCTTTACGTCGTTGCTCGCGGGTGCCCTGTCCAAGCGCATCGGCCTTGTGCTCACGATGGTCTCGGCTCATGGTACGTCCTCTTCTCTCCGCAGTCTCTCTCGCCTGTCCACCTGGAGGACCGTGCACTGACCGCGCTCCTCGCGCTCGCAGTCCCGGCGCAGATTCTCACGGCCGCCATGGCCTTTGCGCCGACCCTCCCGTCCGTCATTGCGCTCTACGTCGCCCGCACATGCATCTCGTCGATGGACTCGAGCATCCGGGTGCGTCACCTTGGGGCCTCGAGGAGATCTTTCGGACCCGGTCTGACTCTCTCTCTCTCTCTCCTCGCAGGGCGCGCTCCTCTCGGCGATGGTCGCCAAGCAGTCACGCACTCGTCTCCTCGGATGTGTGTCCCTCTCTCTCTCTCTGTGCCTGTCACCTCGCCTAACTGACTCGCTCGCCCGGTCCAGCCGTCGACGTCGCGCGCACGCTCGCCGCGGCGCCCGGCCCTTTCGTCACCGGCCGCCTCATCAGCATCGGCAAATTCAGGTGGGTGTTTGTCATCAGCGGCGCCATCAAGATCGTCTGTACGTCGCTCGCTCTCGCACCCTGTCCCTCCTCTCGGTCGTCGAGAGGCGTGACTGACGGTACATCGCCGCGACAGACGACCTCGCCCTCCTCCTCTCGCTGCGCCGCGCCAAGCTGCAGCACTGAGGGCTGCTGTCGTGCGCTCGCAGAGCGTGCGCGAGCGCCTGGTCGACTACCCTTGCCCTCTCCTTCCTCCTCCCCCTCCCCTCTTCCTCCCCTCGGCCTGTCCCCTCCTTTGCCCCTCCCTCTTTCCGTGTACATGACGACGTCCTCGACACTCCTGATATTTATCTGGCCGTGCAGTGGAACTTTGCTGTGTCTGGCGCAACCTGCCGAGAGCGTCGAGCGAGCGAAAACCGAGAGCACGCTGCTGTGAGAGCTCGAGTACGGGCCTGGGCTTCACACAGCCTGTCGCGAGCTCGATCAGAGAGGCTCACGACCAGCAGCGACCAGCTTTGAAGCGAGTGTCAGAGCCCGACGCTTCTCAAGAGATGCGGCTCGCGGAGGAGGAGGAGGAGGTGGCAGCATCTCGACCGAGAGAGACGAGACCGCGCAAGACGGGCTTGGAGGATATGCAGAGCTGCATTGCGCGTACCATCTGCCCACTCTGAGCCGAGGGGGAGAGCACGAGGACGCCAACCTCCTCTCACCCACAGCTCTCCCCACCTCCTCACTCGCTCTCACCAGCCAGCAAGGATGTCGCGCGTCACGGAGCGTAACAAGCCCGACGACGAGGACGCCAGCCAGCTCAAGTTCCCCGCCGGTGCGTCCTCGCCTCTTCCCTCATCCTCATCTCCCCCTCGAGCTCTCTCGCCTCCCTCTCGCGCTCTCAGAGCTGACAGACGAGGGCGTCGCACACAGGCTTCAACGACGAGGACACGCTGCGGCATATGCTCACCATCAGCGACGTCAAGGTGCTCCTCGAGGTGACTGAGATGACGGCCCAGGCCGAGGGCAAGCCCATCCCCGACAACCCGTGCGTCGGCTGTCCTCTTGCGGGTCCTCGATGCGCTTTGCCGTGCTCGAGCACTGCGCTCGAGCGGGGCGAGCGCTGCTCGTACTTGTGGTCTCGGCTGACCCGCTCTTCCCTCCCCTCCCCTCCCCTCGGCTGGACTCGACCCTCTCGCAGCGTGTACAACAAGACCAAGGACTACGTCTCGACCTTTGCCCGCTTCCCCGACCAAGAAGTCGCGCATCAAGCCCGCAGGTGCGCCCCTGCCCTCCCCTTCTTTCCTCCATCCTCCTCGTCGCCCGAGCCGAGCTGAACCTCGCTCTCGCCCGCTCGCCCGCAGCGACGTCCCCGAGGAGAACTTCCAGTTCTACGAACAGGTGCAGCTCGTCAACCTGTGCCCGATGGAGGCAGAAGAGGCAAAGGCGCTCATCCCGAGGTGCGTCGCGCGCTCCCTCGCTCGTACCTCGTTTGTCCTCGACCCGGTCGAGCTTCGTCTGACCTTTGCCGTGCGACACACAGCATCAAGATGGACGACGAGCAGCTGCAGGGCTTCCTCGACAACCTCACCTTGACGCGCAAGAACCAGCAGGTCTGAAGGGGGTTGCACGACTCGCCCTCTCGCATTTCTCTCTCCCTCTCTCTCGCTCTCTCCCGGGCACGCACTCGCAGACGCATGTTGTAACGATAGAGCAGTACCTTCTCGAGAGCACGACCGACGTTGCAGAGAGCCCCCGTGAGAGCTAGCGCGAGCTCACTGCTGCTTGGCGCCCTTGCTGCCCGCCGCACCGACCCTGCGCGCCTCGCCCGCGCCTCGCCCCGCTCCCCCGGCCCTTGCCGACGGCGCTCGGGCGCCCGGCCGAGGCGAGGGAGCCGGCTCTGCGCGCGATGCGCGCGTGAAGAAGCGGTAGTAGAGAAACGCCTCGACGGCGGCGATGGCGAGCGCGCCGAGGAACGAGAGGGCGATGCGCTGCGTGTCCGGGGTGCAAGGCGTCAGTACGGTGCTCGTGGTACTGAGAGGAGCGCACGAGAGAGAGAGGAAGACGGGCGGCGCACCTCGAGGTAGCTGAACCCGAAGCTGACCCACCACACGGCACTCGCGACAGCCGCCATGCTCGCCGCGACGTTGACGACGGCGCCGAGCTCCCTCCTGATCTCGGTCCACTCCTCGGCGGGGCTCTTGAGTCGCCCGTCGTGGGCTCCCGCCGCGGCGTGGAGCGGGACGAGCCAAGGGTGCGGTGCGGGGAGGAGGGACGTGAGAGAGGCGTAGGCGAGGCGGTCTTGCGAGAGCTGGATCGACGAGAGGATGGCGAGGAGCTCGGAGGACTGTGCGACAGCATGGCGGCAAATCAGGACTGCTCGACTCGTGAAGAGAGCGGGGCTGAAGCGAGAGACAGTCGGACGCACCTTGACCCGAGGCGCTGGCGGCGGGGCGTGCACGTCGGTGAGGCGGAGCAGGCTCGCGAGGCGATAGTCGTCTGTGTAGCCTCGAGGTCAGTCTTTGGTGCTGCTCGGGCTGAGGAGCGAGAGGGGAGCGCACTTCTGTCGTCGAGGTTGGCGTCCTTGGCCCAGGTCGAGACGGCGACGAGCAGGTCGTGCGGGATGGTGCGGAACGGCGCGTCGGCGGACGAAAGGGGGCTGCCGTCGAGGCTGCCGGTGCCGTCTGCGGCTTGAGCGCCGGGTCGGTCGTCGACGAGGTCGAGGTGCGAGGCGACGCGGGCCCTCAGCTCGAGGGGGAGGCGCGAGGCGAGCGCTTCGAGGCGGGTGTGGAGTGCGGAGGTGAGCTGGAGGAGGACCATGCTGCACGTGGCCTGTCGAGCGGGTGGAGCTGTCGGTTGTCGAGGGACGAGCACCGCCTCGCAACGACGAGGAGAAGGAGCGCGTCCAGCTCTCGTCCTCAGAGGCGCGCTCGAAGGCGCATGGCACTTGAAGTCCGTGCTACACTGCCCGTCTAGCCCATACAGCCGACAGCTCGTGCGGCCGTCGACTCTGTGTGGTTCTCGCTCGTCCTCATCAGCTCTCGCTTGCTGTCGTCCCTCTCAGTCTCTCCGAGGGTTTTACGATGGTAGACTGGACGCAAGAGTGTACGAGTACAGCTAGACACGGTGTCCACGCTCTCTCGAGTTGTGGTCACTGCTGCTTCGACGAGTGTCGTCACCTCGACGTTGCGGGGCTGGCAACCGCCTCTCTCTCCTGCTCCCCACTCCAGCTTCGAGCTTCAGCACTCCTTGTGTGCCCTACAGCACCTGCACCCCTCTCGAGCCCACCCTGACCCTGCTTCCCGCCCGCAGATCCACCCTCCGCACCCCCTCCACCTCTCGACCACCATGGACACCATTAACAAGGTGCGCCCGCCTCCCCGTCTCTCCTTAGAGGAGTACGAGCTGACCCACTGTCGTGCGCAGATCGTCGACCAGGGCAAGAACCTCGTCAACCAGTACACGAGTGCGCCCGACCCCTCCCTCTTCCCCCTCGTCTCTCGCTCGCCGACCCCTCGCTGACCCACCCGGTCCACAGGCACCGACAGCTCGACCTCGTCCTCGACTTCCGCCGCCACCACCTCGACGACCTCGCAGTCGCACGCCCAGCCGCCCGCTGTCGCCGAGAACGAGCCCTCGGGCGCCGACGCGCTCGTGCCCGACGTCGGCGACTCGCTCGGCGTCACGGGCGGCGTCGACCGCCTCACGACCGACCATGCGACCGTCGGCGACGAGACTGGCGCGGGCGTCGCGGCGCAGGACGGCGAGCCGGCGTATGAGTGAGTCGCGCTTTCTCCCTCGAAGCTGTGCGGGTCTGCCGCAGAGGGCGATCCCTCTGCGCCGGTACTGCTACCCCTTCAGGACTGCGACTCACACTCTTCCTCCTCCCTAACAGGGCGTACAGCACGGCCGGGCGCGACGCGACGGGCACGTTCGACGGCGGCGCCAACGAGAACCCTCCCACGCTCGGCGCCGGCCAGATGCCGCAGTGAGCTCGTCTCTCTAAGATAGATGTTTGGTCCTGCAGTGTACATATTCCCGCCGAGCCGAGCGGCATCGAGCTGTGAGCGAGAGCGAGAGCGAAAGAGGTCCGAGAGCGAGAAGCACGCGCAACTGGTGTGGAAGGTGCGCTCCTCGCTCGCTCCGCTCGCGAGTGTGCACGCTTTCAAAGAGCCGACAGCGCTCGCCCAGAGTCGTCCAACGCCTGCAGCGAGAGCGACCCCGCAGGCTGGTGACCGCCTCGCTTCCCCACACGCCGACGTCGTCATCCACCTCTCCTTCTCTCTCCTCCTCCTCCCTCGCAACTCTCGCAAAGCACACACAGCAGTGCGTCCACCGATCTAGCGTACACCAGGCGCAGCCACTGACCCCTCTCGTGCGCGCAGATGGGCATCCTCGACAAGGTGCGCCCCCCGCCCCCCGCTCGCACCACCCTCCGCCCTCCCTTGCGATCTCCCTCGCCCGCACCTGACCCTCCTTGCACACGCGCAGGCCACCGAATTTATCCACGGCAACAGTGCGCCTCCCTCTGTCCCTCGCCCCTCCCTCGCCCGGACCCCGCAGCTCACATCCTCCGCCCCCCCACGCACCTCCGCAGAGACCGACTCGACCTCGGGCCGCGACGAGTCGGCCATCCACCGCGACGACCAGCAGTCGTACGGCGGGCCCACGAGCGGGTTCGACTCGACCGCCGAGCGCTACAGCTTGTCGTCGGCCGACTCGGCCCAGCAGCAGCAGCAGCAGAGCTCGTTCGGCGGCGGCGAGACACAGGGCATGGGTCCGCAGAGCGGCAGCGCCGGCGGCGACGACGCCGAGTGGGAGGACGACGACTCGAAGGCGCGCCGCCGCGGGTCGACTGCCTCGTCGTCGTCGCGTCGCGGCGACGCCAACGCGTACAGCTCGTCGCGCGGCGACTTCTCGGCGGCGACGGGCGGCGCGTACGGCTCGACGGCGACGCCGCGGTACGGTGCGGCCGAGGCGGGCGCCGACGGGGCGTTCCTCGGCGAGCGGGAGGAGGACGACCAGGAGCGGCAGGCGGGGCAGGAGCAGCGCAACAACCCGTTCGGCGAGGGGAGGGACGAGCAGCCCGGGTACGAGGGCGGGCACGACGAGAGGCAGGACTCGAGCTATGGAGGTGGGGACCGCGGCGTCGACTTTGTCGCCTCGGGTGGCGGCAGCGCGTGTGCGTCCTCCTTTTCCTCTTTTCCTCCTTCCCCCCCCAGCTCGTCGAGCCCCTCCTGACACCTCGCCCCGCACGTACATAGACGGCGACGGCATGAACGAGTACGGCGGTGCCGGCCGCAACAACGACGGCGAGGGCCGGTCCGTCCTCCTCTTTTCCTCTTTTCCCCTCTTCCCCACTTTTCGCCTTTTCTCGTGAGCTGACCCTGTCTTGTTTCGCCCCACAGCTCGTCGTACCAGCCCGACCAGCCCTCGGAGCAGCGCGACGGCTACTCTGGCGGCGAGCGCAGCGCGTACCCGTGAGCGACGGCCCCGCCCGGACCTCCTCTCTCAGCCTCCTTCTCCCCTCTGCTTTCTTCTCCTTCTCTCTCTCTCCTCTCTCGACGAGCCTCGCCCCATCTCTCGTAGTACCCGCTTGATTAGTCAGTGCCCGACCTCCATTGTGCTTTCCTCGCCCGCCTCGAGAGGGACCGAGACCGAGAGAACCGACGAGAACTGCGCTCGCGCCTCGAATACAACAGCCCGGGCAAGCACAGACCCTGCTCGTACCATGCACCTCTACGAAGAGCTCGTCTACAGCAGTGCACCGACCGGTCCCCTCCTGCTCCTCTCGAGGATCCTCGCCCTCAACCAGAACCCGATCCCGACGAGCCCTCCGAGCGCCGCCGTCGCGCGCAGGAGCACCGCGACCAAGAGTGCCCTCCTCACTGCGGCATAGTAGGCGTTGAGCGACATGCCCGCCCAGTTGACGCGGGCGTACGGCGTCCTTGCTGCTGGGCGAGCGGGCGAGGTCGACGTGGAAGGGGACCGAGCGCGCGACGACGGGTGCCGCAGAAGGCGGCGGTACCGGAACGCGAAAAGCCAGATGAGGAGGTTGATGTCTGGGTACGACTGTGTGGCGAGGGGAGCATCAATGAGAGCGCTCGAGAAGGAGAGAGAGAGAGGGAGAGAGGGAGAGGGAGAGAGGGAGAAAGGGAGCGTGGACGCACGAAACGCGGGAAGATGCTCGCCTCGGCCGGCGCGAACGGCGCCAGGTCGGTCGTGTCCTTGTTTCTCAGGCCATTGTCGGTTGCGGCGGCGCCGTTGAGCGGCGTGTCGAGGGCGGCGACCGCGTACGGGTAAGTCGACAGGTCGGACGGCGCCGCGAGGTGCGTCATGTGCGAGACAAAGTCGAGCGTCATGCTGCGGGCGTGTCGACGAGTGTCAGTTCGGCTCGCTGCGAGAGGGAGAGCGAAAGAGAGAGAGAGAGAAGGACGGACCCGAGCGTCAGGCCCCAAAGCTTGAGCTCGGGAGCTTTGCCGCCGGGCGGCAGTGGCGGGAGCTGCTGCCCTACCGCAACCGGGTCGTTCGGCAAGAGGATGCACCTGTGTGTCACCGGGTCCGAGTCAGTGCGAGGTCGCCGGCCCGAAGTTAGTCGAGCCGGCGAGAGGAGCGCGGCGGCTCGACAACAAAGGGGGCAGCGCCGACGCACTTGAAGTCCATCTGGCCGACGAGCATGTGCAAGAGCCACCTGGCGGCTTTGTTCCTGGGCGCGAGGCGCGTCGCGATGTCGATCGGGACCGAGCCGTACTTGGCCGCCGGGGCGTGCAGCAGGTCGAGCGGGATCCAGTGCGCCGACGCGACCTCGGACTCTTGCAGCTCGGGGACCGGTGGATAGGGCGACGTGTGGAGGAAGACTGTGGGAGAGCCGAGCGGGTCAGTGAGGGCGGGCGGGAGGAAAGGGGAGGACGGACGGACCAAACGGCGAGAGGATCATGAGGAGGCGCTTGCCGAGCGAGGTCGTGATCTCTCGGTCGTCGAGCTGGCCGATCCTGCGAGAGTGGGCGAGGTGAGTTTCCTGCGCGGTCTCGGCGAGAGCCTCAGAGGAAGAGGACGCACGAGATCCAGTCCTTCTCGGCGAGGTCGAGTCCAACCTCTGCGATGGTGCGCGAGCGAGTCAGTCGACCCGGCCTCGACCGCACGACCGCACGAGGCAGAGGGATCGAGACGCACCCTCCCAAGTCTCGCGCAGCGCCGTGAACTCTGCCGACTCGTCGTCGGGCTCTTGCCGGCCGCCGGGGAACGCGACGTGGCCGCTCCAGGTGCTGCGGACGCGAGGGCGCGCTCAGTCCGGCTGCAGGTCGGCGGTGCCAGGAAGAAGAAGAGGTGGGGACGCACTCGGTGTGCCTCGTTGCGCGCTTGATGTACAGGACCTCGACGGCGGTCGTCGGGTTGTTGACCCAAGGCTGGTTGAAGAAGGCCTCGAGCTGGTCGAGGACAGCCGGTTGTTGAGCGGCGGCGAGACCAGCAGCGGTTGCAGAGGCAGGAGACGGCTCTTGTGCGGGAGGAGAGAGCGGCGGCGAGGGTTGGAGAGGGAGCGAGGGGGAGGTGGGGGAGCCGCCGAGCGGCGACGACGACTGGGTCGACGAGGGCGGCGGGTGCTCAGGTCGCAGGCGGATGACTGTGTACACACGACGAGAGAGTGAGTCCCGTGCTCGACGCAGCCTCGCACACCTCGCTCGCCCGCAGCCGTCGCGTCGTCGCCATCAGCGAGGACAACCTCCGCACGAGCCAGCTCGCTCACTCCAGCCCCAGAGAGCGGCTCGATAGGCTCGCTGGTGTCCAGAAGGAGGTACCGAGACTCACTGATGGCGACCGACGCGCGCTTCTGCCCTCCAGAGCCGCCCTTGACCGACGATGGCGGCGGCGACGCGATGAGGCGTGGCTTGCTGGCGTGTATGGCTCGCAGGGCAGCGTGCAGCCGTGCAGGGATGCTCCCGGGCTGTGACAGCATGGTCGAACAAGCAGGCGAGGGTGCGAGGCGACGAGGGAGAGAGGCGGGGCCCTTGGTGCCGGCCGCCGGAGGCGAGCGAGAGGACGAGACCTCGAGGTAGCCGGACGCTGCTCTCTCGGCTCCATCAGCGTGCTCACAGGGACTCGGTACAGGTCCAGGGTGCAACTGCAGCCAAACTCTACCGCAAATCCAGCTCGACCGCGTCGTCCTCGTCGTCGCGTGCGCCCGTGCCCCTCTTCTCCAACCCGCTCGCACCCCTGCCGCCGCGCACCTCCTTGCCCTCGACCAGCACGAGCTCCTTGGCACCCGCTCCCGCTCCACCGCCACCGCGACCTCGCCCGACGCCCGCTCCCTCCTCGCCAAGCTGCACGACCGGCGCGCACTTCTCCTGCGCGTCGAGCGCCCGCTGCTGCACCTCGAGGTTCTGGCCCTCGGCGAGCGCCTTGAGGATGGCCGCCTCCTGGCTCGAGTGGAGCGACCGCCGCAGCGAGCGCGAGAGGTACTCGCCGAGGAGCGAGAGCGGCATCGGGTCGGGGAGGGCCGTGAGGACCTGCGGGCGAGCGAGCGGGCCATACGGGCGTGTCAGGTCCGCCTGCTGTAGAGAGAGGCTGAGGAAGGGGTAGAGAGAAAGGGGAGAGACGCACCTCGAGAGTGTCGAGGTGAACGGCCTGCGTCTCGAGCAAGCGCGCCACCTGCGCCTCGCTCGCCACGTCGGGCCTCGCGACGCACATGTCGACGACGAGCCTCGCGAGCCCCTCCCTCCTCTCCTGCCGCGCATGCTCAGCCTCGGACCCGCCACCGCCGCCGCCGCCGTGTCGGGGCGCGCGCCGGCTGAACGCGAGCCCGAGGAGCGACGACGCCGCGCGCACGTCGGCCGCGACGAGCGGGTCGCCGCACTGGAGCGCGTACGTCTCGGCCGTCGAGAGGTCGTGCAGCGAGTGGAGGACGAGCGAGAGCGCCTGGCGGTCGAGGCCGAGCTGCGGGACCGAGTGAGGGTCAGTGCGCGCCTGCGAGAGTTGCGCGACGCCGAGTGAGAGAGGGAGAGAGCCGACGGCGCACCTTGCCGTACACGATGACCCTCTCGAGCGTCAAGCCCCGCATGCCCTTGATCTCAATCTCCTCGAGGTCGGCCTTGGCGCTCTGCACGTCGTACTGGGTCGAGTGGCCGAGGAAAAGGATGGCCTTGAGGCGCACGCGGTCGAGCAGGGCGTGTGCGGGTGCGGCGCCGTTGCCGTCGGCGCTCGAGATCGAGGCCGAGTAGCGCGACACGAGGAACGACAGGAAGGTCGGCGTCGAGTCGGTGGTCGAGGTCGAGGTCGACTCGGCGAGCGCGGCGTAGGCGGTCTCTGCGGGCGAGACGCGCAGGCGACGGTCAGTGACGGGGGCTCGACGCCGAGGCCTGCGGGCGAGAGGACGGCGATGACGGACCTTGCTCGCGCAGGTGCGCTTTGGCCTCCGGGTCGGCGAGAAGCTCGCCGAGGCGACCGATGTACCGCTTGACGAGGTCGGCATGCAGCCGTGCGTCCTGTCGCGCAAGACCAGGCTCGAGTGAGCGACGAGGCGCCTGGAGAGAGAGGAAGGGAGAGCGGAGGGACGCACCGAGTCGCGCTCCTGCAGGACCGTGACCTCGAGGAACCGGTCGGCGGCGTCCGAGTCGACCTTGGCCATCTTGCCGAACAGGTCGCGCGTGTCGAGCAGGATGGGCTGCTTCGGGTCGGTGAAGAGCTGTGCGCGACACCGTTGGCAAGTTCTAAGTCAGGGTCGCCGCTCGAGAGAATGGCCGAGACGGACAAGAGGCGAGCGAGTCGACGCACCCGCAGCGCACGGTCGACGTCGTGTCGAAGGAGCCACAGGCCGTACTTCTCAATGAGCGCCTTGTCCCTGGAGCGCCACACGAGGTCGAACACCTTGTGCACGCCGTCCGCGAAGGTCGGGTCCGAGTACTCGCCGTCGACGATCCTGCAGGGTGGGCGCCGCAGCGTGAGTTAGTGTCTGCCCAAGAACGACATGTGCACCACGATCGGCCTCGTCCGCGAGGATGCGAACGAGAGGAAGGGGGAACAATTGTCGTCGACGCACCTGGTCCAGATGTCGAGCACCCTGCCCGTCTCACCCCGCTCCTTGAGCACGCCCGCCAACAGCGCATGCATGCCCGCGTCGTGGAGCGCGCCCTCGACCTCGGCGAGGACGCAGTCGTTCGGGCCGGCGAGGAGGACCCGGATGTCGTCCGGGCGGTGCTGCTCGGCAAAGAGGCGGACGAGGGTCGTGTCGACGACCTGCGCGAGGCGAGGGCGAGGTGCGACGATCGAGGCAAGAGCGAGGCAAGGGTAGACACGAGGTGAGAGGGGGGGAGAGTGGGGCGAGGAAGAGGGGTTTGAGAAGGTCAGTGCGCACGCTTGCTGCTGCCGAGCTCGGCAGGCGAGCCACGTGATAGAGATAACGACCGACGCACCATGTCGACCTTGCGCGAGTCTCCCTCGCTCCCCAACGCCCCTCCCCTCGCCGCTGCGTCCGCGCCGGCACCCTGCCCCTCTCCCTCTCGTCCCTCGTCCCCCTCGCCGCCCCGTCGCCTCGCCCGCCACCTCGCCAAGTAGCTCCCGAGCGCGTCGCGCGCCTCGGTGCGCAGCTCGTTGCGGAGCCCGACCGTCGTCGAGGCCGACTCGACGTCGGGCTTGAGGTGCGGCGAGTAGTTGCGGTTCAGGTTGTCGAGGACTGCGCGGGCGGCGACGAGTGCGGGTTAGGCTCAAGGTTCTGGCCATGACGGGATACAGAAGTCGGAGAGAGAGATTGAAAGGAGCGACGCACTGTACTCGTCGATGCCCTTGCCCGCCTTGACCTCGTCCTCGACCCCTCTCGGGACCCACACGGCGTCCCTCTCGCCCCGCATGAGCGCGCCCTCGCGCAGGTCGGCAAACAGGCGCACGACGACGCGCGGGTCGCACCCGGCGAGGAGGACGAGGTCGAACGCGCGCGCAAAGTCGGTCTGCGACAGCGCGACGAGCGCGAGGCGGTGGTACACGTACGACAGCTCGGCGTTCTGCGCGAATCGAGGGCGACATGATCGAGAGTGTCAGGACTAGGCTTGTCGAGAGGGAAGCAGAGAGGGGGAGAGAGTGAACAGGCAGACGCACCTCGACCGCTCCCCCTCTCGCACTCCTCGCCCACCCGTCGACGAGCGCCCTCGCGTCCTCGGCCCGCCCACGCTCGAGCAGCGCGTCGACTTGGACGACGAGGGTCAGGGGCGACAAGGCGTAGAGCGCGTTGCGGCCCGTGACGAGGATGCGCGTCGACACGGCGCTCCCGGTCCGCGTCGCGCTCGAGCGGCCCGAGGTGCGGCTCGCGCGCTGCGCCGACGCCGAGCCCGAGCCCGAGCCCGAGGGCGCCTGGCGCTTGGTCGGCGTCCTTGGCGGCGACGACGCCGACGACGAGCGACCTGCGCTGGCGCCAGCGCGCAGCGGGACCTCGCACCACTCGGTCTTCCACCGGCCGGTCGCCTTGCCGTCAAGCTCGAGGCCCTCGCTCGAGCGGACGAGTGCGCGTGGCTCGAACGCGAGTGCGTGCGCCGACGGGTTCGAGGTCGAGGGCGTGGTCGAGGTCGAGGTTGAGGTCGAGGTCGAAGATGAGGAAAGGGAAGGCGAGGACGGGATGGACGACAGGGTCGAGAGCTGGACGACCTGGACGATCTCCTGCGAGTGGATCGAGTGGATCTCGACCGTGTGGTTGTGCAGGAGCGCGACCGAGTACTGGCCGTCGATGACTGTGGGGCGTTCGACAGGTCAGTCTCGCCCACACCTCACGAGACGTACGCGAGCGCGAGGGGCCCGACAAGGACGAGAGGAAAAGCGTGTGACGCACCGAGGCTCCGCAGGTTGCTCGCCCACTCGAGCGTTCCCCTGCACGGCTCGCCGACCTCGTTGACAAACACGCCGAGCGTCGTCGAGCCCGTGTGGCTCGCAATGAGGAACTCGCCGTCGGCGACGCACGCGATCGCGGGGCGCTGTCGCGGGTCGGGCCCAGGAGCGGAGGTGGGCGTGAGGACGGAGGAGGAGGAGGTGGTGGTCGAGGAGGGAGCGGAGGAGGATGTGGTCGAGGGAGGCAATGGGTCGGGATGGGGTGACTGCGAGCGAGGCACGGTGGCCCAGGATCAGTTTCGCTCGACTCATGCGCATCGACGACTGCAGTGAGCGCAGAGGGCGGAGGGGCAGGAGGGGAGGAAAGTGAGGACGAGGGCGCACCTGCGAGATGGGGAGGAGCGGGAGCGCTTCTGCCGCCTGGAGGTCGACGATCGAGTAGTTCTCGGCGTCGGCGACGCATGCCCTCCCGCGCCTAAAGACCGAGACGAGGGCGCCGCTGCGCAAGGGCAGGTCCTGCGGGCGAGGCGCGCGACGAGTCAGGCTCGAGCGCGCGAGAGAGGCGCAATAGGGAGATAAGGGGGTGAGGACGCACCTTGACGCTCGAGATGCCGTCGTTGGTGATGCGGAGCCAGTGAACCGTCCTGCGCTTGAAGACGCACACGTGCATGGCGTCGGGCGCGCCTCGACCGGCGAGCTCGTCCTCGTCGAGCGCAAAGGTCGACACGCCGCGGACGCTCGGGAAGGCGTGGACGTTGAGCGGGGCGAGGGCCGGCAGGGCGTGAAAGGTGAGGACGCCCTCGGAGAGGACGAGGCACTTGTCGAGGCGGGCGAGGAGCGCGATGCGGTCGGCGGGCTTCTTGGCCGGGGTGACGGTCACCTCGTCGACGAGCTCGAGGGCCGAGACCTGTCGGGGTTCAGGGTTAGGGTCAGGGTGCTCGGAAGGCCGAGGGAGGCGAGAGGGAGCGCACCTGGTGCTGCTTGGACGAGCGCCTCGGGGTCGTCGGCGGCGAGGACGGGCCCGGGCTCAGGACACGCTCGATGGACGGCGCATGACGATCTTGGTCGTCGCCGTGCTGGCTGGCGACCGAGTAGAGGCGGACCGAGCCGTGCGAGGTGCCGAGCCAGACGTGGTGGGCTGCGGCTTCGACGGTGCGGACGCTGGCTTGGGCAGCTGGCGAGGTCGAGGTGGCGGACGAGGTGGACGAGGCGGCGGCGGCGACGGATGAGACGAGCTGGCCGATGCGGCTCACAGGTGGCGGCGACGAGGGTGCGGCGGCTGGAGGAGGAGGAGGAGGAGAGGTGGGGCGCGACGAGGCAAAGACCGGGTGAAGCAAGGGGACGAGGGCGTAGGGGGGCGTCTCGAGGGGACGCGTGGGAGTAGACGACGCCACCTTGTCCTTGTGGCCCCACTCAGGGTGCGAGATGGGAGGAGGATCGAGGAGACCTCTGAGGCGACGACGATGAAGACGAGGGGATTCGGGGCCTCGTCCTCACTCGCCTGGACGACTCTGCTTGCCAGTGTGCACCAGCTGTACCACTTGATCATGGCCACGGCTGCCACCCAGCTGCGCCCACCTTCGACAGCCGCCTCGTCGTCCCTCCTCCGCCCTCCCTCAACCTCGACCTCCCGACTCGCTCCCCCGACCTCGGTTACCCGCCCAGGCCAGCCACCAAAGACTCTCAGGCGCCCTCAGCGCGTCCTCCAACCGGGCCAAGCTCCAGGTCCGCCTCGCCCCTCGTCCTCTCGCTCAACCTGCCGCGCGCCTCGCTCACTCGACCTCTTCTTCGCACAGGCCACGATGCAGCTGCCGCAAGCCTCGCGTCCTCCTCTGGCACCGCCACCGCCGCGACAGCCCCATCCGCCTCGGGCCTCACCACCCCTCGCGCCCGCCGCGTCACCCCGGCCACCTCGTCCTCGTCCCTCTCCTCGTCCACCCGCCCGCCGCCCAAGGCCGACGGCGACGACACCGACTCGCACAAGCACCTGAGCCCAACCACGGCCCGTCCACGCTCGCGCATCCTGTCGGCCGCCTCGTCGACCGCCTCGTCGACACGGTCGCTCTCGCGCAGCCTGTCGCGCTCGACCTCGATCCAGGCCACGGCGACGAGCAGCACCGACACGGCGCGCCCTGCGTCGCGCACGCTCGGCCCTCCAAGGGCCGACACGACGCCGCGCAAACCCGCCGCGACCGCCTCGCTCGGCGTCGGCCGCCCGCCCGCCCTGTCCGCCTCGTCGTCGTCCTTGGTCGCGCCCGAAGCCCACACGCCGCGCCGCACGACGCCCCGCCGCCGCTCGTCGGCTGCCTCGGCGTCGACTGCAGCCTCGGTGCGCAGCGTCTCGGGCGCAAGTGCGGCGAGCGCCCGGTCCCTCTCGGCCTCGCAGCGCACGCCGCTGCGCTCGTCGACGCGGCACGGCGCAGGACCGCCGCCGTCCAGTGTCGCGCCTGGTGCGACAGCGAGGCGCACGGGCGGGGCACTCGCCTCGTCGGCGGCGTCCGGGCCTGCTGCGGCGGGCACTCGGGCGCTCGGCGCATCGTCGACGGCGTCGGCCATCCCCGTGCCCGGCGGCCGCACCCTGCGCCGTCCCGAGCTCGGTGCCGCAGGTGGCGGGCTGCGCTCGTCGGCGGCGAGTGCGCTGCGCCGGCCGACGCCGCGCACGGGCTCGAGCGCGCTCGAGGGAGGACCGGGCGCAGGCTCGAGGGCGACGTCCGCTCTGGGGCGCAGCAGCAGGCCGTCATCGCGCCTCGGTGGGCCGACGACGTCGGCCGGCCAACAAGCGCCGCCGCACATCGCGCTCTCGCCGCCCGCCGGACCCGACGCGCCGCTCGTCGTCGGCCCGCCCGCCGCGCCCGCTCAACCCGATCCGCACGCCTACGCGACACCGCGCAAGGGCCCTCTCGCGCCAAGCCCCGCCGACGCGTTCGCGACGCCCGTCGCCGACTCGACCGGCGCGCCCGACGCCTCGTCGGCCCTCTTTGCGCACCCGGCCTTCCTCTCGCCGCTCCCTCCTCCGCCCTCGACGCCCTCGCACCCGCACACCCTGTCGTCGTCGACCGCGACCGCGACCGCGACCTCGAGCACGACCACGGCAGCGGCCGCGACGCCCAAGCACCGCACGCTCCTCGGCCCGACGCGCCGCGCGCGCCCGCGAGAGTCGCTCTCGCTCGAGGAGCTCCTCCGACAGGGCCTCCTCTCGGGCCCGGGCTCGAGCTCGGGTGCATCAGGCGCAGAGCTCGGCGTCCCCGGCGCAGGTGGGCGCGGCGGACCCGCAGCGCAGTCGGCGGCGGCGGCGGATGAGTGGGAGCTACTCCTCGACGAGAGCAGCAGCCGGCTCATGCGCGAGGAGATGCTCGGCGGGAGCGGGGGCGGAGTTGATGAGGTCGCCGGACCGGCTTTGGGCGACGGCGCGGGAGGCCCGAGGACGCCCTGGAGGGGACGGGTCGTCAGCCTCGGCATGTCGGTGCGACGCTCGGGCCCGGCGCTCGGCGCAGGCGTCGGCTCGCCCGGCTCGCCAGCGTCCGAGCGCAGCCTCATGCTCTCGCCGCCGTCGGCGGCGGCGGCGCAGCGCACGTTGTCGCCTCACGGCGGCGGCGAGGACCGGGTCCTTGTTCTGCGCCAGTCGACGACCGAGGCGTCGGGCCTCCGGCGGCAGCTCGCTGCGCTCCAGGCCGAGCTCGACCTCTTGCGGCGTGCGGCGCCCGGACCTGCGCCGTCCTCGGTCGCGGCCGACGGCGGCCCACCTCGCTCGACCCCGGCGCGCCCGGACGCCGCCGACCTCGCCGCACCCGCCGCCGCCGCCGCGGCCAACGAGCGTCTCGCCGCCCTCGAGAAGGAGCTCGACGCGGCCCGGGCGCGCGAGGACGAGGCGCGCCTCGACTGGGACGCCGAGCGGCGCGAGATGGAGCTCGAGATGGCCGAGCTCGCCGCGGCCGCCTCGGCACCGGTCGTCGTGCCCGTCGGCGAGCAGGACGGTGCGGCGGTACGCGCTCGCGAGGTCGAGCTCGAGGTCGAGCTCGCTGCGGAGCGGGCGAGCGCCGCGCGGGCCGCGGCGCAGCGCGAGTGGGACGCGGTCGGGGCGGCGGCGAGGCGCGAGCGGCTCGACGTGCAGGGCGAGCTCGAGGCGCTCAGGGTGCTCAAGGGCGGGCTCGGACTGTGGGTGTAGCGCTCGGTGCGGCAGGGAATCGAGCGTGGTGTCGAGGACGAGGAGAGGGGGGAGCGGCGCAGCGGCGCACGGGCCCTCTCGTCGCTCTGTGCTCTCTCGCTTCTTTCCTCTCGGCTATGCTTGCTTGCGCTTTGCTTCTCTTCCAGCGTCTGCGTCTCGTCGAGGATCTCGATCGGGCCCGGTCGAGATGTCAATGTCGCAGTGCGCTCGTTGCGAAGGCCAGCCTCGTACTAGTACTCGTGCGCTCGCCGCAGCTTCTCTGTTCGGGCTCGCGACGAGAAGGAGCGATGACAGTGCTGTGCGCACGCGACGGTCGAGCTTGGCGAGGCAGCGAACTCGGCTTCGCGGGCGACGTGCGTCAACTGCGTCCTCCCCCGCAATTCGCGCGTCGGCTCGCTCTTGTCAACGTCGAGCTCTCGTCCTCGCTCTCCTCTCTCCCCCTCCTTCTTCGCACTCTTGCACACTTCCAGTTCCCCACCCAACACACACCAAGAACGACATGCAGGCCACCGCTCAAGCCGTCAAGGACGTCCTCTCGTCCGACGACTCGTCGTCGTCCAAGCCCAAGCCGGGCCAGTTCGACCGTGGCTACCAGCCCGACCCGACCGCGTCTAAGGAGTCGCAGGGCGGCGACGACTCGCGCCCTCCCGGCGTGCAGCACACCATGCCCGGTGCGCCCCCGTCTCCCTTTCCCCCCCCCACCGAGCCGACGCGAGACGGCGCGAGCTGACCTTTCCTCGCCTCTACAGACACGCTCGTCGACGACGTTCTCGCCAACGGCACCCCGTACAAGCCCGTCGGCAAGTTTGAGGGCCGCGTGTGGCTCATCACGGGCGGCGACAGCGGCATCGGCCGCGCGACCGCCATCCTCGCGGCTCTCGAGGGCGCCAACGTGTGCGTCCCGCTCTCTCTAGTCTCAAATCTCTTGCACTGCGACTGACTGGGAAGCACGCTCGCAGCTCGATCGTGTACCTGTCGGCCGAGCAGAAGGACGCCGAGGACACGCGCGACTACATCACGCAGAAGACGCAGGGCCGCAGCCAGGTCCTCCTCCTCCCGATGGACGTCAAGCTCGAGGCCAACGCCATCAAGGCCGTCGACGCCACCGTGTCCAACTTTGGCCGCATCGACGTCCTCTTCCTCAAGTGCGTCGCCCCTCTCCCTCGCTCCCTCTCCTCGCTCGTGCGACTCGAGCTCACTCAGTCTCTCTCCCTCTCGCAGCGCCGCTCAGCAGCTCGAGAACCACGACATCACGACGCTCGAGTCGAAGCAGTGGGAGGACACGTTCCAGGTCAACATGGTGCGTCCTCCCTCCCGAGCGGCGGTTTCGAGATCTCGACGCTCACACCTCTCTTTTCCTGCGCAGCACCACATGTTCTACTTCTCCAAGGCTGCGCTCCCTCACCTCAAGAAGAACAAGGGCGCCAACATCGTCACGAATGCCTCGGTCAACGCCTTCATCGGCCGCCCGGACCTCCTCGACTACACTTGTGAGCACCTCCCTCCTCGCTCATGCCTGGCTCGACACTGACCCTCGCATTTCCTCCCTCGCAGCGACCAAGGGCTCGATCGTCGCCTTCACGCGCGCGCTCGCCAACCAGCAGGCCGAGCACGGCATCCGTGTCAACACGGTCGCCCCGGGTCCGTCTCCCTTTCTTCCTCTCGCGACTCTGCCTCTCTTCCCTCGCGCCGCACTGACTCGCCTTCCTTGTCGTGCAGGCCCGATTGTCACGCCCCTCGTCCCTGCGACGTTCGGCAAGGAGGTGCGTCCCCTCTGTGCGCCGCTCGGTCCTCGCGACGTACTCGGACCTGACGCTGTCCCCCTCCTCTTCCCTTCCCGGCCCCCTCCCCGCTCCCTTCTCTCCCTGCCTCCCTCGCACGCCCTGTCGCCACCTGCAGAACCTGAGCCAGCTCAACTCGGGCCCGCTCGGTCGCCCTGGCCAGCCTATCGAGATTGCCGCGCCGGTCATCTTCCTCGCGTCGTGGGACGCAAGCTACGTGACCGGTGTGACGATTCATGTGTCGGGCGGCCAGGTGCGTCCCTCGCTGTCGTCGTCGACCCGCAAAAGCAACGAAACTGACTGAGAAGCCGTCTCTTGCCCGCAGTACGTCGCCTGAGCGCGCTCGCTCTCGCGCTTCGAGGCCCGCCTCTCTCGCTTGACGCCGCAGTTGTTCGTAGCTTGCCAGAGCTTGTAAATAGTCAGTCGGCGACGTTCGGATCCGCTTTCCCTCGGAGAGATCGCTCCCCCACCCCGTCGCCGGCCGCGGACGCCGTCCGGCCGGCCTCGCTCGCTCGCTCTTCTCTCTCCTGCCACCCCCACTCGCGCTTTTGCACCTTCTCGCAGCAAGCCACACACACACTCGCTCATCCGCCAGCCCCAGCCCAACCTCACCCCCTCGCCTCCACGCCCCACCCCCAGCTTCGAGATGACGGCCACGCTCGCCGCCTACCCGACCCCGGTCGCGACGCCTCCTCCTGCGGGCGCCCTCAAGACGCGCAAGCAGCCCGCACCGCCGTACCTGCCCAACCGCCACGACTACAAGCCGACGCACCCGTCCCTCTTCCTGATCGAGTTTGGTCCCGAGGGCGAGGAGTTTGGGAGCTGCCTGCGTGCGGAAAAGGTGCGCCCTCGGGTCCTCTCTCGTTCCCTCTCTGTGTCTATCTGTGTGTGCGGGTTGCGCTGCGGGCAGGGCAGGCGGTGCGCGGCCAGCGAGTCTGTCACTGACCGCGGCCGCGACGACCTCCTCCTCCCTCGAGCGCAGGCATACACCAAGGGCGACATCCTGTGCCCGATCCGCGCCACGCTCCCGGGCACCAAGGCCTACTCGTCGGTCCAGGTCCTCCCCGACCCGGCCCTCCCCTCGTCCTCGCGCGCCGCGTCGTCGTACCCCACCTCGTTCTCCGACGCGGCGCCCTCGTCGACCCGGCGCCACATCGAACTCAACTCGGACCTGCTCTACGTCAACCACTCGTGCGACCCCAACGTCGTGTTTGACGTCAACGGGCGCGAGGCGCACGAGGGCGAGGAGGACGCGAGCGGCAACTGGGAGGGCCGGTGGAGGGTGCGCGCCGAGAAGGACATTGCCAAGGGCGAGGTGCGTCTCTCGTTCTCCTCTCGACTTGGCCTGAGTATCCGCCGCAGCTGCGCGCCGAGGGGTGGCGGCGGCGGTGCCAGGAGTTGGGGTCGAGCGAGATCCTAAGCGTCTCTCGCGCGTCCACAGATCCTCACGTTCGCGTACTTCTCGACCGAGTGGGACATGGACCAGCCGTTCCACTGCCTGTGCAAGACCGAGCGGTGCCTCGGTACCATCCAGGGCGCCAAGCACATCGAGCAGGGCGTCCTCGACGGGTGCGCTCCCTCTCCCTCGTCTACCTCCCTTGGCGCGCACCGAGCAAGCTCCTGACCTTGTCTCTCGACTCGCAGGTACTTTGTCAACGACCACATCCTCGCTATGAAGGCGCTGCAGCGGGAACAGGCGCAGCAGTGAGCGGCGCGAGCGAACGAGCGCACGAGGAGGAGGAAAAAGTCGGGCCCGCCGCGCCGGGTTCCGGCGCACACCAGTCGACAAGATCTTCAAAGAGTGTATCGCAATGCATCAGTTCCTCATTCTGCTCGAGCTGGTCGAGAGGGAGAGTGACGCTCCTCGACTCGAAGCGAGTTGTCCGTGAAAGGAGTCGGTTCGCGTCGGTGCAGCTTGGGCGGCACGGCTTGCCTGACTCTCGCTCGTGGTCGACGAGCTCTGTGAGGAGGACTGCGCGTCGCTCAGGCCGCTCGAGAGGCAAGCAGCTGCTGCGGCCTTGACGTCGTCGTCGTTGTCGGCGAGCGACGGACAGAGGACAATCGCTCCGCCCTTGTCGCGCGTCCCGCCCGCCAGTCTCGAGCGAGCAGCACCAGTAGCGTGCACTCAGCACCTCGACAGCGCACCCAGTCGCCGCGCTCGCCCTGATCAAGCCGCCCGCCGTCCTCCTTCCTCTCCTGTCGCCCACCTTCTCGCTCGCGCCTACAGTACCGACTCGCTCCCCAAGATGCCCTCGCGCACCTCTGCAGGGCCGGCCAGTCCGCCCAAAAAGGCTGCGCCCCCGCCGCCAGCCGCCCTCAACGGGCCCGGCCCGACCTCGGCGGCGCTCGCGCCCAGAGACCAGAAGCGCACCCAGGCCGGCGACCAGAGCGCCTACGAGCCGGGCAAGCCCATCCGCTTTGTCGTGCGTCCCCTCTCCCTCCTCCCTCGGTGTACTCTCGCGCCCGCGCTCACGAGCTCCTCGACCCTCCCCTCCTCCCCTCGCCGGCCTTGATCAACCTCGACGACGCACCCCACCCGCAACAGGACGAGGAGGTCGAGAAGATGCACAACGAGATCGACAAGCGCGCAGAGAGCGACCGTGCTGTTGCGCGTCGCGCCCTGCGGCACCCGAGCCCGCGTCGGTCGCCCGGCGTCGGCCTGCGCGGCTTCCTCGTGCGGGTCGCCCTCCTGTACCTCGCCATCGCCTACTTTGTCGCCTGCCCGCACGACCCCAAGCGCGAGTACGCCGTCTGCCGCGGTATCGACACGGTCGGCGCCCGCGCTCGCCAGCTCGAGCCGCACGTCCGCCCTTACGTCGTCCGCGCCCAGCGCAAGCTCCAGCCATACGTCGCCGAGGTCCAGCACCGCACCCAGCCCTACGTCGACACGGTCAAGCCCTACTACGACCGCGCCGACCGCCTCGTCCGCCCTCGCCTCGCGACCGCCTCGGCCCGGTACCGCTCGACCGTCTACCCGGCCCTCGCAGGCGCCGTCGTCCACTCGCAGGAGCTCACGCGCCCGCTCACGCGCAAGGTCAAGACGCAGTACACCAAGTCGCTCGCGCCGAGCGTCGAGTGGTACACGCTCGCCCTCGAGCGCTGGTACGCCGCCCAGCTCGCGCCGCACGTCGACCGCGCGTCGTCCTCGGCGCGCTCGCTCGCGACGTCGGCGCAGCGCGCCGTCGCCCCCGTGTGGCAGAACGGCGTCCCGGCGGCGCAGCACCACTGGCGGGCGCACCTCGTGCCGTTCTCGCGCTCGGCGTACGGCACCTCGCGCCGCACCTACGTCTCGCACGTCCACCCGCGCCTCGTCACGGCGTGGAGGACGTCGCACGGCGTGTACCGCTCCAAGGTGCTCCCGGCGCTGCAGCGCTTCTGGAGCCGGTTCATCGCGCCGCAGCTCGCCAAGATCCAGGAGCGCGTGTACGAGTACAAGGCCAAGCGCGCCAAGCTCGACGCCATCGAGCGCGTCGACAAGGCGACCGACAAGATTGCGCAGGAGCACGCCGACGACGACATCGAGGGTCCGTCCTCCTTTCGCTCGTTCCCCCAAGCCGGACTCGTCCTGACTTTGTCCTCGCCTGCCCGCCCCCGCAGACTTTATCAACGAGCTCCGCAACGACGGCGCCAACACCGACGTCGACGTCGACGCCGCGCCGGCCATCCCTGCCGAGCAGGCCGCCCCTCCCGCCTACTCGTCGTCCGTCCCGCCTCCTCCGCCCTCGGCCGAGGACGCTGCCGCCCAACGTGCCTCGCAGCGCGCCGCCCTCGAGGCGCTCCAGTCGACGTACGAGACCGAGATCGCCGCCCTCGGCCAGGCCGAGCACCGCCTCCTCGTCAACCGCCTCGCCGACATCCGCTCGACGGCCGCGGCCGACATCCCCAAGCGGTTCGACGCCGCGCTCGAGGACCTCGACGACGAGGGCGACAAGATGGTCGGCCGCCTCGGCAAGTACTTTGCGCGCGTCGCCGGCGACGACAAGCACTCGGTCGACGACAAGGTGCGCGACGCCGACGACCTCGCGGCCAAGGCGGTCGCTCGCGTCGCCAAGGCGGCGGGCGCGCTCGAAGCCGAGGTCGACGAGTACCGGCGCGAGCTCGAGGAGCGCGAGGAGGCGGCCGTGTGGCTCGCCAAGAAGAGCGTGTCGGACCTCGTGAGCAAGGCGACCGACGAGCTCGGCCGTGGGTGGACCTGGCTCGACGGCACGAGCGCCAAGGACTGGCAGCGTGCGTCCGCCTCTCTCTCTCTCTGCTCTCTCTCTCCACGTCGTCGCCGTCCCTGACCTTGCGCCCATCGTCGAGCAGGCTACCACGGCCTGCGCCGCGCCGAGGAGAACCTGCACAAGAGCTTTGTCGACCTGCAGTCGGGCGCCATCAAGGACGCGTCGCTCTCGGCGCACAAGCCCTTTGCCGTCCTCGACGAGTACCGCCAGCAGCCGGCCAAGCTCGTCAAGGCGTTCGAGACGATCCTCGCCAAGATCAAGGTCAAGGGCCAGCGCGAGCTCAAGGGTGAGTGGCTCGGCGTCGTCCCCGAGGCGCAGAAGGCGTACGATGCCGTCACCGGCAAGCTCGGAGGCGTCGTCGACGACCTCAAGCTGTCGGCGTCGTCGGTCGCCGGCTACGAGCCCAAGCCGACCAACGTCGCCCAGTCGGTCAGCTCGCTCGCCAAGGCGGCGCAAGCGTCGGCCTCGTCGCTCGCCGCCGAGGCCGTCAGCGCCCTGCCGACGGTCGAGGCGTACCACGAGTACCGCGACGCCGCCAAGTCGGCTCTCGGCGACGCCTCGCAGCAGGTCCTGCGCGCCGTCGGCGTCGAGCCGTCGCCGACCGACATCCGCCAGACGGCGGCGAGCATCGCGCACGCCGCTCAGGCCTCGGCCGCGACCGCCTACGCCGAGGCGTCCCAGTCGGCCCTGCGCGCGCTCGGCAAGGAGCCGTCGCCGACCGACCTGCCGCAGTCGATGACCTCGATCGCCAACGTCGCGAGTGCGTCGGCCGCCAGCGCCTACTCGCAGGTCGTCTCGGACTACCCGTCCTCGATCTCGTCGGCGCTCGCCGCCGCCACCCAGGCCGTCGACGACGCCGCAGCCGCCGCCCTCAGCAGCGCGTCGTCCGTCGCCGCGTCGGCCGCGAGCGTCGTCGCGTCGCTCGCCGCCCCTGCGGCGACCATGATCAACGCCGGCGTCGTCGTCGACCGCCTCGGCGACGTCAAGGAGGCCGCCAACGAGTTCTTCGGCGACGTGAGCCAGGACGCCCTGCGCGCCGTCGGCGTCGAGCCGAGCCCGACCAACCTCGCCCAGTCGGCCACGAGCGTCGCCCAGGTCGTGCGCTCGGCCGTCTCGCCTGCGCCCGCCGTGTCGCGCTCGGCATCGTCCATCGCGAGCGCCGCGTCGCGCTCGTCCTCGTCGAGCTCGAGTGCCCTCTCGCGCTCGGCGTCGTCGGCCTCGAGCGTCGTCTCGCGCTCCCTCTCGTCGGCGTCGAAGGAGGGCGCGTCGGCGTCGTCGTCGGTCGCGAGCCGGGTCAGCTCGGTTGCGCAAAGCGTCAAGAGCGTCGCGTCGAGCCTCAACAAGCCGCACCCGAGCTACCGCAAGAGCCAGGCGGCGGCGTCGGTCGTGAGCGCGACTGACCGGGTCAAGCGCGCCGCCGGCGCCAAGGTGCCCGTCGCGCGTCGTGCGGCGACGGCTCAGCCGGTCGCGGCTGCGGCATCGGCGGCGCCGGCGGCCGAATCGTCCGTGTCGAGCGTCGCGAGCCAGGTGTCGACTAAGGCCGAGCAGCTCGCGAGCCCGCACCCGTCGTACAAGGCGAGCCAGCGCCAGGAGAAGATCGTGCGCGCGACCGACAAGGTCAAGCAGGCCGTCGTGCACGGCGAGCTGTGAGCGCCGTTACGCCTCGTCGCGCGCCTCGACCTCTCCCTCCTCTCTCTCCACCTTTCTCTCGCTCGCCGGCGGCCCTTCCTCGCCACGCGCCCCGCCTTTATCCGCCTCGTTCGGCCCTTGGACCTCGCGTTCACGGTCGGCACCCACGTCGATCCTCAGCAACCCTATCTACAGCCTTCGTCGCCTCGCCTGTAGCACTCTCGCGCTCTCCCTCTCTCTCTCGTTCGTCCTCCTCCTCGCCTATACCACCACGCCCCACTCTCTCTCTCTCCCTCCCCTCCACGACGTCCAGCCGCGCTTCCTCCACGCGCCCTCCCCCACGAGCACGTCGTCGCCGGCGACCTCGAGGTCCGGCCTCGGACGTTGAACGGCTCGGACAAGTGTCGGGCGCGCCCGCTTGGTCCTCCTCCGCCCCGCTTCGACCCTCCCTCCCTCCCTCCCTCGTCCTCCGTCCTCCTCTCCTCAGATACAGCCTCTGTAGTCGGAACGATACCCTGCCCTTGCTTTCGTCAGTCTCTCTTTTGCAGCATTCGATTCGAGAGGTGGCAGCAAGGCGAAAGAGCGCTCGATCCTACCGAGAGAGGCAGGGGCCGAACCGAAAATGAAAGTCGGTCGCAGCGTCACCGAGGCGAAATTGCAAGGACGGCGCACGCGCTCCCCCTTTCAGGGTCGTCACCGAGGCGAAAGTGCGAGCGTCGGGCCAGCGACAGAAGCTGAGAGAGACGGGCTCGAGCGACGACGAGGACGAGAGCTGGCTCGCCTCGAGCTGCGCGCACGGTGATGTGCGGGCGCGAGGTTTATCTGACGAGCGGGTGCGGTGGCTAGCGCGGTCTCACGCTCGAGAGAGTGGGGCAGCGCGCGAGCTTCTGCGCGGCCCCCGCTGAGCGAGGGGAAGGCTTCGCCGACTTCGACGCTAGTGTTGTCCCCCCTGCCGCACTGTTCCGGCCTCGCTTGCAGGCCAAACAGCCAGTGACTGCAGCACACAGCAAGGTCCCCCCACAGCCAGCACCACCAGTCGTCGACCGGGCTCGCCAGCTGCCGTCGCCCCTCCTCCTGCCCCCCTCGACTTCTCTCTCTCCGCCCTCCACCGCTCCACCCCCAGGTCGACTGGCGACATCGGACAAGTCCGCCTTCACCTCGTTTCCCCCACCACCACCACCCACCGCCCATGGACACGTTCGCCTACCACCCGCCGGGCCTGTCCCTCTCGCCGGCTCAACCTCACCCGCACCACCTCGCCGACGATCCCGCGACCGCCGCCGCCTTTGCCGCTCGACCGGGCTCGTCATCGGGCGCAGGCCCCAGCACGGGCTTCACCCAGACGCTCCCGCCCCTCCAGGAGCACGTCTCGAGCGAGTCGGCGGGGCCGGCCGCGGCAGGAGGAGGAGGAGGAGGAGGAGGAGGAGGGGCGGCAGGCGGCAGGCCGACGCTCGTCGGGTTCGAGCAGCTCACGGGCGAGGAGCCGCCGGTCGCGAGCACTAGGACGGTGTACGGCGAGGCCCCAGACGGCACAGGCGCGGTCGCCCACTCGCTCGGCGGCGGCTTTCGCGACCCGTTCCCGGGCTCGTCGGCCGCAGCGGCGGTCAACCCGTACGCCCAGGCGCCGCACGCCCACTCGTTCTTCAACCCGCACCCGAACGTCAACATGCGCAACACGCGCCCGATGACGGCGCCGTCGGGCCCGTCCTACTTCAACTCACCGTCGTACTCGGCCGCGCCCTCGGCCTTCTACGCGCCCGCGCTCCAGCAGCAGCAGCAGCACCATCACCAGCACCAGCAGCAGACGAGCGCCAACGCGGCGTCGACGTACGGTGCCCTCGACCTCGCCCCGGCGCCGCCGCCGCACGTCCCGCCCGGCTCGTCCGGCGGCCTCACCTCGTCGCACTCGCAAGCGACGTTCCAGTACTCGGTCGACACGTCGCCCAACCTCGACTACGACGCCTTCCGGGCACGAGGCTTTAGCCTGCCCGACGTTGGCGGCGTCGGCGCGAGCGATCCGGCCGGCCCGGACAGCGCGTCGCCCTCGTCGTCGAGCACGCCGTTCTTCTACACGCCGCCGTCGGTCGCGCCGGGCAGTGCCCTGCGCACCCTCCAGCCTGCGCCCCCGCCGCCCATGGCGCCCGCCGACGGCTACTACCCGGCCGTCCTCGACCCGGCGCAGGCCCTCATGCCCGCTCCCCTCACCGCCTCGACCTCGGCCATCCTTCCTCCCTCCTCCGACCTCCCTCCTCCTCCTGCATCCTTCCTCCAGCAGCAGCGGCCGCAGACGGGCCCGACGCCGTCGACGCGGCGCGGCTCAACCGGCGGGAGCGGCGGCGCGGCGGGCAAGCAGTACAACTTTGTGCAGCAGGCCGGCCAGTCGAACAAGCGGCCCCGGCGACGGTTCGACGAGATCGAGCGCATGTACAACTGCGACTACCCGGGCTGCACCAAGGCGTACGGCACGCTCAACCACCTCAACTCGCACAAGACGATGCAGAAGCACGGTCCCAAGTCGACGCCGGCTCGTGCGTCGCTCGTTCCTCCTTTTCATCGATCTCAAGGACGGTACTGACTCAAACCTGTCGCCCCCTCGCAGAGTTCAAGGAGATGCGCAAGGCGTGGCGCGAGCGCAAGAAGGCCGAGGCCGCGACCGCCGCTCGCGACCGAGCCGCACAGCCCCAACCTCTTCCCACACCACCTTCCGCCCTCGGTCCTCCTCTCGACACGGGCGCCGGCGGCCTCCCGAGCGCGCTCGGCCTCCCGCCGCACCTCAACGACCGCCCTCGACCGAGCACCTCGGCCGGCGAGTACCACTTCTCGATGCCGGCGCCCTTCATGACGCCGCTCGGCGCGCCCATGCTCGCCTACCCGCCGCCTCCGCCCGCCGCCGTGCCGCAGTCGGCGCCCCAGGGCATGTTCGACGCGCCGCACGCGTACGACGGCGACGCGGCCGCTGTCGGCGGGCCGTTCGCCCTGCACGACATGTACGGCGGCGGCGCAGGGCACGGTGGCGGCGGCGGCGGTGGCGGCGCAATGCGGCCCGTCACGGCGCCGTCGTACTACGTCGCGCCCCAGTTCGGCGCCGGCTCGTCGTCGGCCTCGTCGGGCTTGAGCCATCACCCGCTCGCGCAGCCGCCGACGACCGCAGGCTCGTACGTCCCGCCGCGGCTCGTGAGCGGGCAGGCGGGAGGAGCAGCGTTTGGCGTCGGCGCTGGCGCCATGGGCGGCGACCGGCGGTTCAGCCTCCCGAGCTCGAGCCTCGGGTACGGGCCGCCGCCGCCGCCGGGCACGCAGTGGCACTCGCCGCAGCAGGACGCGATCAAGCGGTTCTACCGCCAGCAGTACCAGCGCGAGCAGGAGCAGGAGCTTCAGCAGCAGCAGCAGCACGACGCTCAGCAGCAGCAGCAGCAGCAGCAACAGCCGGCGACGACGCTCGAGATGCCGCGGCCCGTCCTCGCCGGGCCCAACGGCTACTCGGCCCTCATCCATGGCGGCGTGACGGCGGCGCAGGCCAGTACTGCGGCCGAGGGAGGCGCGGGCAAGCTCGGAGGAGAGGACGGCGGGTCCTACGAGGAGATCGCGGCTCAGTGAAGTCTGGCTCGTCCTTCCTCGTCACCTCTCCTTCCCCCTCGACACTCGTCGATCTCTCGCAACTTTTAGAACGCGTGCATAGTCTCCCCCTCGCGCATCCGTGCCTGTACAACTCGTGTCCCTCCCACATAGCCTCCCCTCCTCACCTTGAGCTCCCTCGCAACGCGCACATCGTCCTCGTCGCCCACTCTCGCACATTGTGCACGAGCTCGACGTCTCTCGGCGAGCTCTCGTTCGGCGACGCACTCTCTCGAGCCGACTCACGCGGCGAGGACGAGCGCTCGCAGAGAGAGAGAGAGAGAGAAAAGGGGAACGTGCGGGCTGCTCATTTTACGCCCTGCGCTCCTCCAGCGAGTCGTCTCCTCCACTCGCCTCCTGCGCAAAAAGCGCGTCAAACTCGCGCTGCTTGCGGGCGCGCTCGTCGGCCGCGTCCCGCGCCGCCGGATCCATGAGCTCGCGCTCGTAGCCGTTGCCGTCGTCGCTCGGCCCGCCGCGCGGCATGCCCGTGCGCGCGTTCTGCTCGCGGAGGGCGTCCCATCGTGAGGGAGGGGCGGCGCGCGAGCGGCGCAGCTCGTCCCACCGCGAGGGCGACGAGCTCGACGAGGATGAAGAGGACGAAGTGGCGGCGGCGATGGTCGAGTCGGACAGGCGGGACGGGAGCTGGTCTTGGGGAGGCGCTGCGTGAGAGGAAGGATGCGAGTCAGTGAGAGGTCTCAAGAAGAGACGAGAGGTCGAGAGGTCGAGGAAAAGAGGCGACGCACCTCGGTCCGAGTAGCCAACGCCGTCGAGGTTCATCGGCTCCTGCGTCATTTCCCTGCCCGGCTCGCCGTACCCGATACCCTCGCCGTCATCGTTCTGCCCGAGCGTCTCGTCGCCCGACGCTCCCGACCTCGCGCCCGCCGGGTTCACCATGCGGCCGCCGCCGTTCATGCTCCGGCGCACCTCGACCTTGCCGCCCATCGTCTTGCTCAGCTCGTCCGCCGCTCGCTCAATGCCGCGAGTGGTTGCCTGGTCGATCGCCTCGCGACGGCCCGACTTGTCGAGGAGCGTGTTGGCCGCCGACTTGCCCGTCTGGACGCCAATCCACGTCCTGGAGGAGGGCGAAGCAGTGTCAGTTTCCGCCGCGGTGTCGCGTCTCGTGGAGCGACGGCGCAACAAAAGAGAGAGAGAGTCGGACGCACCCAAACACTGAGCCGATGATGCCGTACCCGACCGCCTTGCCCATGAGCGCGGCCCTCCCCTTGCGCATCGCCTCGCCCGCCGCCTCGCCGCCCGCCTCCTTGCCCCGCTCCTCGGCCGCCTTCTTGGCCGCCGCGAGCGTCGACTTGACGCTGCCGCTGCCCTCCTGCGCGCTCGGGAAGAAGAGCCGCGGCGAGATGCCCCGCCCGGCGGCGGCGCGGCCGGCGGCGAACCGCCCGCGAAAGGCGAGCGCGGCGCCGGACAGGGTGCCGATCCAGAAGCCCCGGCGCGCGTGCGAGATCTGTGCAGGTACGGGAGGGACGGGCGCGGTCAGAGTCTGTGCCGCCGGCGCGGCGAGAGGGCAAGTGGGGCGGGAGGGGAGAGGGGGAGGAGGGGAGACGCACGAGCTTGGCCTCGGCTTCCTGCGCGATGAGCCGGTCGCTCGGCTCCATGGCCTGCGAGATGTTCTGCGCGATGGTGCGCTGAGCCCGCATGATCTCGTCGGGCGAGGCAGGACCGCGGCCGAGGGCGGTGCCAGGAGGAGGTGCGCCGACGCCAGACATCGCGTGAGGGGTTGGGCGGGTGCTGAGGGTGTGGTCGGGTCGTGTGCGAGTCTCGAGAGCTGCGCTGCGCCAGTCGAGAGCGTGCGAGACGAGCGAGGTGGAGAAAGCAGACGACCGCCGTCATCTCTCTCGCCTCGAGACCTCGCCATCGCACCTCTTGGTCGAGCGGGTCGAGTGCTCAAAAGATCTTTGATGCAGTACGACAGCGCTACACAAGGCGAGCGGAAGAATCTACGAGGGGTACACACGGCTCAGCTCTCGGGCCTTCGCCTCGAGGCCGACCAGCTTCTCGAGTCGCTCGAGCGCAATCTCGAGCTCGTACCGTCCTGCGGGAGAGGCTCGAGTGAGCGCGTCGAAAGAGAGAGAGAGAGGCGAACGTGATGGGAGAGAGAGACGCAACGGATGCTGAAAGTCATGCGGAAGAATCCCGGCTCGGGGCAGGCGTACGAGAAGCCTGCGCACGCGAGAGGGGTCAGTGCGAGGTCGAGGAGAAACGTGCCGCGAGAGCGAGAGGCTGAGGGACGCAAGGACGAGGAGAGAAAGAGGGACGCACCCGGACCCAAGTAGACGCCGGCGTCGACGATTCGGTCGAGGAACGCGACCTCCTTGGCGAACCTGCCGCCTCGCGCCTCGTCGGCGACCTCGACCTGGTTGACGTGCTCGCGCCAGTCGACGAGGACAAAGTGCCCGGCGTGCGCCGGCGTGTAAGGAAGGCCGTGCGCTCGAAGCCACGCCGTCAGGTACGAATAGGCGCGTCCGAGGGCCGCCTTGTTGAGCGAAAGGTAGGTCGGAAGCTCAGGTGAAGTGAGGAGGGCCGACCAGAGGGCGTCCTGCGTCGGAAAGCACGTCAGGATGGCGCTGACGAGGTGGGCTCGCCGGCTCGAGGAGCACCTCGAGGCACGAGGAGAGAAACGAGAGACGCACCGTCGGTGAGCCCATGCGGATCTCGAGAGCGGTAACCGAGAGCGCCGACATGATGTCGGCATTGTGCTGAACGACGGCAGTACCGGCGCGCAGCCCGTTGCAGCCAAAGTCCTTGGACGCGCCGCCGAGCTGAATGATCCTCGACAGGTCGCACCCTGCCTCGGCGGCGACGTCGATCGCGAGGATCGAGGTGAAAGGGAGCGCATCGGGGCAGTCGTCTGCGAGCGGGCCGGGCGAGTGCGTCAGGGGAGGACTCGTCGAGCACGGGGCGAGATCGAGAGGAACGGCCGGCGCACCAGTGTCGAAAACCGAGAGGGCATAGATCTCGTCGACGACGAGGTACAGGTTCCACCGCTCGGCAAACTTGCAGTACTCGATGAGGACGTCGCGCGCGTAGCAGAAGCCTGCGAAGGAGGAAAGGCGGACAGGGTCAGCTTGGTGCGACGAGCGAGTCGAGGCGAGAGAGAGAGACAAAGCCGACGCACCTAGAGGGTTGTGCGGGGACGTCACGAGGACGGCCGTCACCTTTGGCGCCGAGCTGTCGCCTTGTCGGCGCTCCATTTCCTGCTCGAGCGCCTCGACCTCGCCGACGGTCCCGTGCGCGCCGGCCGGGACCGCAACGCTGGCGATCCCGACTTGGCTCGTGCCCTGCAGGTCCTGCTTGAAGCCGTTGTACTGCGTGCGTCAAAGGTGAGTCAATTGCCGGACAGTCGAGGATGAGACGACGCGAGATCCTCCCGGTCCTCTCGAGACCGGTTCCTGCGCGGCAAGAGAGGACAGGGGACGCACCCAGGGTGCGGGAACGATCCACTCGTCGCCCACGTCGGACGTGACGGCAGCCAGGCGCGAGATGAGGGGCGACAGGCCGTTCGAGGTGACGATGTGCGGCGGCTCGACGGGCTCGTGCGGGTGAAAGTACGTCTTGTACAGCTGGCCGAGGGCGACAAAGATGCGGTCCGAGCCAAAGATGCTCTTGCCGTAGGTCAGGTCCTGTGTGAGCGCGCACGAGTCAGTATACGACGAGGGAGAGGATCGAGAGAGGGAAGGGAGGGGGAGCGAGGAGCGAGAGTGGGACGGGGACGCACCGTGTGCTCAAGCTTGAGGGTGCCTGGTCGCTCCCAGAACTCGGTGAGCCAGTCGTGCAGCAAGCTCTGCGCAGAAGGAGGGTGGGATGGGCGGAACGAGAGGTCAGCACCGCCTCGTCCGGGGGAAGGAGGAGCAGGAGGAAGAGAGCGGGCGCACATTCTCGGCGAGGCCGGCGTTGATGACGCCGTCAGGGTTGTCGTCCGAACGCTGTGGCGCGGGTGCAGGCTTGCGTCAGGCCCCGGCGGCGAGAGGTCGCGGTGGGGAGACCACGAACCGGGTTCCCGAAGGTGCGACCGAGGGCTTTGAGAAGGGGCGAGTCGGCGGATGCGTCGAGCTGTTTCCTGGCGCGGTGAGAGAGTGGCGGGCTGGGCATCTGAGCGAGGTGGGCGAGGTCAGGCCGACGATGGAGATGAGGATGAACAGGACGAGACGAGACTCTCCTCGTCCTGCACCGCGCACCAAGGTGAGCCTGACTTGACACCGCACTGCAGAGCTCTGTGCAGCCTCGCTAACCCACCCTTGCCCAACCGCAGCTCGTCCACACCTCTCGACCTCCCCCTCTCCCGTCTTCATCTCCGCTCGCTGCCGTTCAACCCGGCCAGCCTCGCGACGTGAGTCCGCCTGCCCTCGCCCGACTCGACATCCACCTGTCTCGCCGTCTTCTGTGCGACGGACCGGCAATAGCGGCGCAAGGTCGAGCGAGGACCGGCATCCCCCTCCTTGACTCGCTCGCTCGCTCGACGACCATGTCAAGGCCAGGGCAGCTCGCCGAGCCGGGCGAGGGTCGGGTCGTCACCTCGACCGAGCTCTGCAAGAGCTATCAGCACCCTCTCGATCGCCTTGTCGTGCCAAACTGACCCCGTCGCACCTCTCGCAGGACCGACTCTCCTTTCTCTCGGTCCGTTCCCTCCCTTTAGAGCCTCTCGAGATGCACACATACTCACCTGGATCTCGGTTGACAGCCTAGAAGAACATCCGCGATCCGCCTCGCCACCATGAGCTTCCACGCCGCTCCCGCTGCCGGTCAGAGGAAGGTGCGCCGCTCGCTCTCTCGCTCGCAAGCGCCGACCACTGCGCGCCCCGTACTGACGACGCCCGCACCCACAGTGGACTATCCGCGTCCCGGCCTCGTCCGCCAACATCGGCCCGGGCTTTGACGTCCTCGGCCTCGCCCTGTCGCGCCACCTCACCCTCCGCGTCTCGCTCCAGCCCTCGTCCGACGCCGACAGCAAGGTCGTCCTGTCGTACACCGGCGAGGGCGCCAACGACGCACCGCTCGACCCGTACAAGAACCTCATCACGCGCGTCGCGCTCTACGTCCTCCTGTCGCACCGCCTCACGTTCCCCTCGGCCGTCGTCTCGGTCGAGATCGACAACCAGGTCCCGTTCGGCCGCGGCATGGGCTCGTCGGCAGCTGCCGTCGTAGCCGGCGTCCTCCTCGGCGACGCCCTCGGCGACCTCAAGCTGTCGCAGGATCGCGTCAAGGACTACGCCCTCATGGTCGAGCGCCACCCGGACAACGTGACGGCGGCCCTGTGCGGCGGCTTCACGGGCTCGTTCCTGCGCATGCTCGAGCCGTCCGAGCTCTCGCCGCACGCCATCCCGCTCGCCGAGGTCCTGCCCGCCTACCCGGCCAACGCCGGCCCGCCCGTGCCCGGCGACGAGCTCCCGCCGCAGCCGCCCAAGAACGTCGGCCGCCACGTGCGCTACGGCTTCAGCAAGGAGATTGGCGTCGTCGTCGTCGTGCCCAAGTTCGAGGTCGAGACGGCAAAGGCGAGGGGTGCGCTGCCGGACAGCTACCCGCGACAAGACGTTGTGCGTCCCCTCACCTCCCTCTCTCAGTGTCGCAGAGGGCATGTCTGACTCTCTCGTGCGACCGACAAACCTGCAGGTGTTCAACCTCCAGCGTCTCGCCGTCCTGACGGCGTCGCTCTCGACCTCGCCGCTCGACCCGGCCGTCATCTGGGAGGCCATGCGCGACAAGGTCCACCAGCCGCAGCGCGAGGGTCTCGTGCGTCCCTCTATCTCTGTGCAGCACGAGCGAGAGCCAGATGGCCTGTCGACGAGGCGGGCGAGGCGCCGAAGAGGGTGCTCGTCCGCTCGGGCCCTTTCCTTCTCGCTCGCGCTCGCTCCCTCTCCCTCTCTCGGCCAGTTCCTCGTCACTCGACGCACGCAACTGACGACTTTCTGTGTTCCTTCCGCCCTCTCGTCGTCGCGCAGATCCCGGGCCTGAGCAAGATCGTCAACACGATGACGCCGTCGACGCACCCTGGCCTCCTCGGCATCTGCCTCTCTGGCGCGGGCCCGACCATCCTCGCGCTCGTGTCGAACGAGGGCGCGCCGCGTGTCGAGCGAGGGCAGGCGACGCCGCAGATGGAGGCGGTCGGCGAGGCCATCAAGGCGCTCTGGCGCGAGGACGGCATCGAGGTCGAGTGGCTCGCGCTCGAGGTCGACGACGAGGGCGCGACGCTCGAGGAGCACAAGGCGTGACGGGCCGTAACTGGCTCTCTCTTTCTCTCTCCATAGACGCAGCCTGCACCGGTAACCAGTGCCTGCATGCATCATGCGCGCGCGCGAGCGAGAAGTGCGGGACCGGAGAGCGCGAGCGAGCGCGGGGACGACAGACAACCGGTGGTCTCGGAGAGAGAGAAGCCAGGAGAGGGGGCTTGTTCTTCGGCGTCAACGCTCGGGCTTGGCCATGCGGCAGCAGAGAAAGGTGCGCGAGACGCTCGTCGTAAGCTCGGGTGACGAGCCGCTCGGTCCCTCTCCCCACGCTCGGCTGCGGTAGTTGCCCTCGGCCGAAGGTGCTCGCCGGCGTCGTCACCGAGTGCTGCTGGAATGCATGCGCTTGCAGCGTGTAAGCGCATGCGGGATGCGAGCGCGGGAGGTGAGCTTCGCTGCTCTCGAGTCGTCGCTCGCTGCGACTTTGCTCGTGCGTGGTCCACAGCTTCCCGTCGTCGGGGAGCGCAGAACGAGTAGAACAGAGCGTCCGAGCTACCGCACACACTCGAAAGAACCAGCTCGCGTCGACTAGGTGCTTTCACGCGCATCTTGCGAGCTGTTCTTCGCCGTCTCGGTGCTCCTCCTCGAGCAGAAGAACGAGAGCTGCTCGTGCGAGTGCAAGATCGAGGACGATCCGAGATTGGACTCCTGTCCGCACGTGCTTGGCCCGGTGGTCGCAGACGAGGGTCGAGCGGACGGACCGGGGACGAGAGAGTGAAGCGAGCGAGCGGAGGAGGAACCGCGCTGAAGCAGGCCGCTCGCACTCGGCTCTCGCTCGCTAGACTGCACTTGCTGCCTCACGAGCGCATCCTGCTGCCCCGTGCACCTCTCTGCGCTGCTTCTCGACCGCCACAAGCCGTCCTCGTCGCCTTCTTCGAGCTCGCGCCGACCTCATCTACGCGGGCACCTCTCGGCGTCACGGTGCGTCCAACAGCCTCGTTGCGGTGCAGCAGAGCGAGCAGAACTCACCATCGACCCCCTGAGCAGTCAACCCGACCACCGCACCCGCCGCAAGAGCAGTGCAAGACGCCGTCTCGTCCTGCGACCTCGTCACTCGAGGTGAGCCCGACCTTTCCCTTCGCTAGAGAGGTGCAGCACGAGGAGAGGACGCAGCGATGGACGACGGGATCGACGACGAACATCGAGCGCTGACCACCTGGCCGCATCGTCGTCGGCGCGCGCGCAGAACCTCGTCCTCGCCCGCAGCTCAAGCTCTTCTGCCTCGAGCCTAGCCTGAGCAGCCTCGGCAGTGCCCGCGCCCGCATCTGTGGAAGAAGAACAACGTCCTCGGCCTCCGCCTCGGTGCCGCCTCGCTCCATCCAAGGTAAAGCACCTCCGCATACAGCCGGAGGAAAGAGCGCGAGCGCGACCGTGTCGAGTTGGGCGGCAGGACGGGCGAGGGGAGGCGCAAACGGCCGGGCCAGCGTCGAGCTCAGAGCCTTCGGGTCGTCGAGTGCGCTTAGCCAGAGGCGGCGCCCGGAACGCTGGGGACGGGAGGAGGAGCGCATGCCTCGGCGAGTCGGCCGGAACGGAGGGTCGTCGTCGCGACGCGTCGCCCTGGGTCCTTTTCCTCATGTGGGCAGGGGATCTCGCCATGCGGACGACGACGAGTCTGCCGATGCAGGCACCTCGGCGCAAGCTCTGCACGCGCATGCGCATTCGCTGACTGAATTCGTCGTCCCTCCCCCGCCGCAGCCCACCACCTCGCCCTCGACTTTTCGTCCTCGACAGCCTCGTCCTGCACGTTCGACGAGCCCTGCTGCATCTTTACGACATCGTCAAGCCTGCTCTCGACCGCCAAAAAAAAAAACCCGTCGCGACCTGCGCGCACGAGCCGCCCGACGAGACGAGCAGCACCAAAGTGTTTGTGCCCGACCTTCAACGAGTCGCCCTCGACCTCGACCTCGAGCAAGATCCACGATCGAGCACGCCGGAAGTGTGTGCCGCAGCGCGCGTTTCGAGGAGGTGAGCCCGCCCGTCTCGCTGGCATGAAGTGGCGCCTGCCCCGCCGGCGCGCGCGCGCGCGACGGCCCCTCCGCCTCCCCCGGGCCCCGTCGCGGCCTCTCGTTCCGATCGCTCACATCGTGCTCGTCCCCTCCCCTTTCTCGCGCCTGCGGCACACCTCCCTCCCTCCTTCCTTCCTCCAAATCCGTGCCCGCCCTCTCTCTCGACGACCACCTTCTCTCTCTCTCTCTCGCCGTGCACCTCGCCGTTCGCCTTCGTCTCTCGCCGCCGTCGCCGCCCGACGACCCACACTCTTTCCCGCCAACGGCGCATTCGCTCGCCCTCGCCGCCTCTCGCCCTCGCCCGCCTTGCGCCTACCTTCCTCGACACCTTTCCTCGACTCGCCAACGCCCACCGTGAAGAGCCAGCACCAGCACCCGCACCGTCGCGACCACCCGTCCGGCAGCTCTACCCCGCATTCCTCACCCTCGCCCGATTCCGCGCCTTTCGCCTTCGTCCCCCTCACGCGACCATGAGGGCACCTTCGACCTCGTCCCTCCAGCAGGCGCGCACCACGGCGTACCCTAAACGCCGGTCGCCCGCCGCCGCAGCCGGCGCGAGCTCGTCGCAGCCTCCATCACCCTCGGCGAGGAGGGCTTCCCCCACTTCGGTCGAGATGCAACGGGCGGCGCAGCTGTCGCCCGCCGAGCGCCAGCTCCTGCCGCTCCTCGAGCGCGAGTACCGCGACGACGTCAGGACCTACATGTTCGAGATGCAGGTGCGCCCCCCTCTCTCCCTCTCGTCGTCGTCGTTGCCATCACGCCGGCGTGCGAACGCGGAACCTTGAACCTGACCCTGCATGCATCCTCCCCCTTCCTCTTCTCGCGCAGGGCAAGACGATGGCCAACGCCGACCTCATCGACCAGCAGCCCGAGCTGCGGTGGTTCATGCGCGCGTACTTGGTCGACTTTCTCGTCGAGACCCACCTCCAGCAGCACCTGCGCCCCGAGACGCTCTACCTCGCGCTCAACATCGTCGACCGCTACGTGTCGAAGCGCGTCGTCTTCAAGAAGCACTACCAGCTCGTCGGGTGCGCCGCCCTGTGGATCGCCGCCAAGTTCGAGGACGCCAAGGACCGCGTCCCGACCCTGCCTGAGCTCGTCGACATGTGCTGCAACGCGTACGACGAGCGCGCGTTCGTCCAGATGGAGGGCCACGTCCTCCAGACGATCGGCTGGGTCGTCGGGCACCCGACTGCCGAAGCGTGGCTGCGCCTCGCGTGCGTGACGGGCTCGATCGAGGAGACGCGCACCCAGCACGTCGCGCGCTTCCTCATGGAGCTCACGCTCTTCCACCGCGAGTTCATCCGGTGCAACCAGTCGGACGTCGCCATGGCCGCCCTCCTCCTCGCGCGTCACATGCTCGGCAAGCCTCGGCGCGTGCGTCCCCTCTTTCTCTTTCTCTCTCTCTCTCTCGCCGACCGTGACCGAGACTGACCCTCGCTGCGTCGTCCTGCAGCCTACCGACGAGAACGACGCGGTCGTCCACATCATGCGCATGCTCGACGAGCTCCTCGGCGAGCACCTCGAGGAGGTCTCGCCCGTCGTCCTCCGGAAGGTGCGTTCCTTCTCTCTCTCGTTCGCGATCCACCTCGACCGAGTGACTGACCCTCTCGTCCCCGAAACAGTACTCGTTGCCGTGCTACTCGCGCGCGTCCATCTTTGCCCGCGAGTGGTACCTCTGCGGCCGCCGGTTCGCGTACCCGCAGCACCACCCGTCGTCGGCGCCCGTCACGCCCGTGCGCGCCATGCGCGGCATGGTCTCGTCGCCCGTCTCGTCGTCGCCGCTCGTCTTTTCGTCGACGCCGGCGCGCTCGGACGCGTCGAGCGCGACCTCGGTCTCGTCGTCCGACTCGGAAGGCGACGACGACGACGACGAGCACGACGAGTGCGACGACCTCGAGGACGACGAGGACCAGCCCTTGACGCCGCACACGCCGTTGACGCCGTTCTCGAACGGGACCGACTCGTTCCTCGGCGTCGGTGCGCCGCCGGCCCTCACGCCCGAGGACGTTGTCAGCGCGACGTTCGCGGCCGCCGCGGCGCGTGCGCACAAGGAGAACGCGGCGGCGCACCACCACCACCAGCACCACCAGCAGCAGGCGTACGACGCCAAGGCGGTCGCGCACCACGTCCAGCAGCAGCACCGCCCGCCGCTCGAGCGCGCGAGCTGGGAGATGAACCACCAGGCGCCGGCGTCGTCGTCGCCGTGCGCCATGTCGACGTCGCCCATCTGAGCTCGTCGTCGTCGTCGCCTTCTCCCTTTCCTCGTCTGGGCCCGGTCCACCTCGTCACCTTCTCGCCTCGCGGTTCCGCCCTCGTCACCCGGTCCTCCCTCTCTTTCAGTACCTGCATTCTTCTCGTCGCGCCTCTCTCTCTCCCACCCCTGTTGACAGTATCCTCCAGCCTCGGCGTCGTTCCCTCTCCCCCCTCGCAAACCTTCTCTCTCCCTTCGTCCTCTTTTACCCCTGCACATCATTCTTTACCCGACCCGTTTACCCACCCATCATGCCCCTCACGATACCTTCTCGTTCTTGCTTCCCACTCGCCCTCTCTTCGTCAGTGCCTCCCCGTGCATAGCCCTCTTCCTCCTCCTCCTCCCTCGTCGTCTGTCTATCCCCCCCTCCCTCGACACAAAAGCTCCCCGAACCACGTGGAATCATCAGCGCTCACGAGCGCTCGTGCCCCCTTTCGACCTCCCTTGGCCCGTCCCGGCCTTGTCTGCGAGCGAGAGAGCGAGAGAGAAAAGGAGAGCCGGGCGACGAGGAAAGAGGGTCCGAGCGAGCTCTCTCTTGCCCTCGACGTGTGCAGCCTCACGAGAAGCTCTCTCTCTCTCGCTCTCAGCCCTCGCATCGCTCGAGTGAGTGAGCGCACAGCACCTCGTTGCACGCGCCCCTCTCGCCCCTCGCTACTCCCTCCCCTGCGCGACCCGTCGCAGCACCTCGTCGCCGACCTCTGGCCTCGCGAGCCTCCTGAGGCCGTCGGCGCCGTCGCCGACGAGCGCGATGGCGGCGTCGTGCGCGTCGAGGACGAGGTCGGCCGAGAGCGGGACGCAGTAGCGCGCGAGGAGCGTGATGAGGAGCGCGACGCGCGAGATGGTGAGCCGGGTCGCGGGCGGTATGTCCTGCCCGTGCGCGCAAGGGGAGGGGGGGGGCGAGAGGACGTGTCAGTCGGCAGGGTTCGACGGGGAAAGAGAGAGAGAGAGAGAGAGGCGGGGCGGGGCGCACCTCGTTCTCGCCGCTGTAGACCCCCTCGCCGCTCTCCTCGCCAAAGCCAGCCTCCTCGCCGTCCATCCTGACCTCCTTCTGCACCGTCTTGCTCACCCACACGTAGCCGTTGAGGCCGATGATGAGGTCGACGCCGAGCGCGGCGAGCGAGTGAAAGTGCGACTTTTGCCGCAGGACGAGCGAGGGCGGGATCGTGACGAGCTGGCCGTTCTTGAGCTGCGCGTGCGAGAGAGAGAGAGAGGGAGGTGTCAGGAACTACGCTTGAGGACGAGCGGAACGGGAGAGGGCGACGAGAGGAGGAGAGGGACGACGACGCCGCACCTTGCCGTACTTGAGCGAGCGAGTGTGCAACGACATGGCGCCGTCGCCAAAGAAGGCCTGCACTTCTGCGACGAGCAGGTCGCCCTCCTGGAAAAAGGTGCGCATCTGGAGCTCGTCCGACTCGAGCTTGCGGCGCTGGATGCCGCCGGGCAGGTTGATCGACGACAGCATGAGGACGGCGTTCTGCGAGGCATGCGTCTCGACCTTCCACCGTTTGGGCCCGACCTGTCGGGGGGCGCGCGCGAGTGGGCAAAAGGTGTGAGCGGTGCGCGAGTCGAGCGCGACGAGGAGGAAGGAGGGGACGGACCTCGACTATCCGGCCGATGACGAGGTCGCCCACCTCGCCGCGGTACCTGCGAGGGCGCCACACTCACCGATGTCAGTGACTGCTCTCAGGAGAACCGAGACGGGCACAGGGTGTGGAACGGGCGGCGCACTTTGTCCGGAGCGGTCGGACCGAGACGAGCTTGTTTACGCGCTCGAGGGTGCCTGCGACGCTGGCGAGGACCTGGTCGTCGTGAACGTAGGTGCCGTGTCCCCTGGGTGCGTGCGAGAGAGGGTCAGGACGGTGTGTGCGAGAGAGAGGTGGAGACGAGGAGAACGGACCTCATCCAGCGGTGAGCGTCAGCGATGACCTGGCCTGGCCCGGTGACGGTGCCCTGCGGGGTGTCGGTGTCGTCGAGCATGGCGTCGTCGTCGTCATGGTCAGGATGGGTCGGTGGTGGGCGGTGCGACGAGGTGGATGGAGCGAGAGATGACGAGGGAGGTGAGGGGACGACGACGCGGAACATGGCGGTGGGTGGATTTGGTGGGTCGGTGTGAGGTTGCGGGATGCAGCTGAGACTAGCACGAGCTGGCCCTGGTGGAGTGGAGCGAGCAGAGGTGTCGAGCTCGAGAGAGTCGGGACAGTCGTCGCCTCGTCGCTGCGTCGCCTCTCTCGCTCAACCACCACCTGCCTGGTTCCATGTCGGACGCACCAAAGGGAAGAGGCCGCGGCAGGGGTCGCCGCATCCCCGCCACCACCCTCTCGGGCCCACTCGCCCCAGCCGCCTCCCCCTCACCGCCTCCTCCTCACCAACCCTCACCCGCCGACGACAACCACCACCCCTCGACCGCAGACGCCATAGACGATGCTCCACCCCCTCCCGCCGCCCCACAGCGCCGCGCATCCGTAAAGCGCGTCGCTTCCGTCGGCGTCGGCTCGACCCGTGCTCCCTCTGTCGGCTCCAGCATGAGCCGCACCCCGTCCCTCGGCCCAAACGCCGCCCCGACACCCGCACCCGAGCGCCCACCGAGACCCGTCGGCGGCCTCCTCGCCGTCAACAGCGAGTACCGCGCGTCGGCCACCCCAGCCGGCTCGACCACCGGCGCCAGGCCAAAGTTCAAGCCTAACATGCGCAGGGTCCTCAAGGTCCACGACGACGACGACGACGACGACGAGTGCGTTCCCCTCCCTCTGTTCTGGCGGCGCACGAGGACGCCGACTCGATCGAGCAGCACTGAATCTTCCTCCCCTTCCGCTCGCCCAGGGACGTCAAGATGGTCCGTCCTCTCTCTCTCTCCCCCTCCCCTCTCGCGCAGATACCTGCACCCGTCGAGACGGCCTCGAGCTGACCCTGGCACCCGCAACAGGAGGACGGCGACTCGTTCCGCAACAAGCGCGGCCCGCGCGCACCGCGTGCGCGCCAGGACCTCGAGATGACGGCGTCGGGCCCGATGGCCCAAGGACCTGGTGGACCTCGTGCGTCGACGCTCTCTTTCTCCTCGACTCGGCGTCCCAGACCTCGTCGTACTGACCGCGGTCCTCTCTTTCCCCTCTCGCTCGGTCTCCTCCCTTCCCTCCCCTGCACTGCCACCTCTCGCCTCCTCGTCACCGACCCCACCAGCTCGCGCATGGGGCGCCGGCCGACCCGCAGGCGCCGGCGCGTCCGGCGCAGCCGTCATGGCCGCCTCGCGCGCGGGGACGCTCAACCGCATGCTCGACGACGACTCGGACGCGTCCGACCTCGAGGGCGGCGGCGGCTATGGCTCGGACGTGCCCGGCGGCGGTGCGGGCAGCGGCGGGTCGGGCGACGAGGGCGCCCACGTGCGCCGGTTCAAGGCGGTCGACCTGAACGACATTGGCGCCGAGCCTGGTGCAGGCGCGAGGGACGGCGAGGACGAGGCCGTGACGCCCTTGACGCTCCCGAGGGACCCAAAGGTCCTCAGGACCAAGATCCGCCGCCTCCAGGAGCGCAAGACCGAGAGGGCCAAACGCGAGGGTGCGTCCCCTCGTCGCGCTCGGGCCCCTTCCTCCTCCTTCTCGGCGCGTATTGACTCGCCTTTTGTCACGCACGTGCAGCGCGACACGCCGCCAAGGCGCAAGGCCTCGTCAAGCCCGAGCCGACCGACGACGCGCTCCCGGCATCGACCTCGACCTCGACCTCGGCGACGCCGCTCGGCGGCACGCCGGCGCCTTCCGCCATCGCGCCGAGCACGGCGGCGAGCTTGATCGGTGGCAATGCGGGCGAGACCGACTCGAAGGAGGGGTCGCTCGCGCTGCTGAGCGTCGACGAGGACAAGGAGGCCAAGGACTTGAAGGACCTCGAGGAGGAGGAGAAGAAGGAGATCAACCTCAGCGAGGCGTTCGACCTGGCTGTGCGTCCCTTCTCTCTCTCTCTCTCTCTTTCTCCCTCTCTTTCTCGCTCGGCGACGAGGCCTCGACTGACTCCCTACTCGCCGCCCGCAGCCCGAAACGCGCGGCGAGCTCTACATGTTCCAGTTCCCGCGCAAGTTCCCCGTCTTTGCGCCCGAGACGCCGGCCGACACCACCGCCACCGCCACCGGCGCCTCGTCGTCGTCGTCGGCGGCAGCCGTCAAGCCCGACCCGGACGCGCCCGCCGCGCTGCGCAAGCCCGCCGCGCCGGCGTGGGGCCGGTTCGGCTCGCGCGCCGAGAAGGCGAGCCGGTGGACCGAGCACGAGGGGAGGATCGGGCAGCTCCGGGTGCACGAGAGCGGCAAGGTGACGCTCAGGATCAAGGGCGACTTGCGGTACGAGGTGCGTCTTGGGCCGGGCCCGCTCTCTCCTCTATCGCTCGATCTCTCTCTCTGTCTCTCGCGCGTGCTCGAGCGTGTATCGGAGGAGCGTACTGACCCTCTCGAGTGTGCGACACGCGCAGGTCCTCCCCGCCGCGCAGCCGTCGTTCCTCCAGGAGGTCGCCATCCTCGACCACCGCGCCGCAGCCGGGTCCGCGTCGGCCTCTGCGGCCAACGGCAACGGGCACTCGAACGGCAACAAGCCCAAGCACCGCCGCCGCTCGGCCTCGGCCTCGTCGGGCTCGTCGTCATCATCTTCCTCCTCGGCGTCCGACACCGACAAGCCCTCGCGTTCCAAGGCCAAGGCGCGCCGACCGGTCCCGCCCGAGTCGCTCGTCGTCCTCGGCCAGACGCAGAAAAAGTTCCTCGTCGTGCCCGACATCAACGACCTGTTGGCGTCTGTCGCAAAGCAGGAAAAGGACGAGCGCGACGAGGAGAGGAGGGTCAAGCTTGAGCGGGCGAGGGGCGCGAGTGGGGCGGCGAGCGGGGCGGCCGGCAAGGGGAGGAGGTAGACGAGGGACGAGGACGCCGTGTGGAACGCTGGTGATCACGAACCTGGGCGAGGGCTGCTGCGGGAGCTTTGGACGACGCGGCTCTCGAGAGAGAGAGAGAGAAGACGGCGAGCGAGAGAGGACGAAAGCGGTCGTGATACAGGTACAGGTGCTACAGACGCTATGGCACGAGGTACGACGAGAGAGGGCATGATGGGGGTGCGGTACGAGGGAAGGAAGAGAGAGCCGGGGCTGAGAGGGAGGGGGTCCGGGCGCGAGTGTCGGGAAACGCTCAGAGGTAGTACGGCGCCCTGCTCGCGTCGACGCCGTACTCCTTGAGCGCTGCCGAGAGGTCGTCCATGGTGAGCACCGTGCGCTGGCGGCCCTGTGAGTGCGCCAAGCGCGAAAACGAGAGCGTCAGTCCAGCTGGAGGGGCGCGCTAGGCGGTACACGAGGATGCTCGAGGCATGCCCGCGCCTCGCCAGGCGTCGAGAGGAACGAGAGACGCACCTTGGCCTTGCCCTGTCCCGCTGCGCCCGCTCCAGCTCCAGCTCCTGCACCGCCCTTGTCCGCCGCGCCCTGCTGCCCCGCGGCGCCTGCCGCCGCGCCCGTCGCTCCTCCCGCCGCCGCCGCACCCGCCGCTGCTCCCGCTGCGCCCGCCCCTGCTGCGCCCGCACCCGTCGTGCGGCCTCCCGGCCCTGCGGCGGTGCGCGCGCGGGCGTACTGGAACGCGTCCGAGGCGATCGAGCTGATGAAGCGCTGTGCTGCGAGGGCGAGAAGGCGCTTGCTGGGGTCGTGGGGGAAGGGTGGCGTCAGCGAGGGAGGCTGGGAGAGGGAGGGAGGGAGGGGGGAGAGAGAGAGAGGGACGAGGAGGAGGTGGGGGAAGGGGGACGCACACGCGCACGTCGTTGGTGTCAAAGCCCGAGCGCTGGAGGTAGTAGTCGGTGACCTCGTCTGGGATCTGGTGGGTCGGGGGGTGGGGTCAGTGGGGGGCTGTCGGGCGCTGAGAAGAGGGACAGAGAGAGAGAGGGAGACGGACGACGGGCTGGTAGTCGTCCATGAGGTCGAGGAGAGCGCTCAGGTCTGCGTCGTTGCGTTGCTGCTGAGCGTCTCTGCGCTGACGGTGGTGGACATGAGGAGCGAGGCCCGAGTCGGGTTGTTGTGGTGGAAGAGGAGGAGCTGATGAGGTCGAGGTTGAGGCGGCGGCCTGTTGCTGTTGGAGTTGCTGCTGCAGTTGCTGTTGTTGCTGCTGCTGCTGAGCGTGTGCGTGTGAGCGCAGGAAGAGGTCGTTTGGGTTCATGGCCGTGAGCCTCAGAGGGAGGAGCACACCTTCGTCGCCTCCTCTCCTCCTCCCCTTCTCCTCACCTCTGGTCACCCCCCGTCGTCGTCCCACCTCATAAGTTCATCGCCAGTGAGCTCTCGCTTCCCCTCCCTCCCTCAAGCACCTCCACCCCAGCCCTTGTTCCCACCCTTCACGCCCCCTCCCCGTCCCTCGCCGCCGCCTCGAAAACTTCCCCTCACGGCCTCGCTCACTCGCTCCCTCGCAACCCACAGTGGCCCCCGCTCAGCAGACCAAGAAGGTCAAGAAGTCGGCCGACAACATCAACGCCAAGCTCGCCCTCGTCATCAAGTCGGGCAAGTACCAGCTCGGCTACAAGTCGGTCCTCAAGGCCATGCGCTCGGGCAAGTGTGCGTCCACAGGCCCAGTCCTCTCTCTCTCTCGTGTGTGCAGCGTGCGGGTACCTCGAACTTGTGCACTGACCACCCTCACCACTCGCAGCCAAGCTCGTCCTCGTCTCGGGCAACACCCCCCCTCTCCGCCGCTCCGAGATCGAGTACTACGCCATGCTCAGCAAGACGCCCGTTCACCTGTACCAGGGCTCGAACGTCGCCCTCGGCACCGCCGCCGGCAAGCTCTTCCGCGTCGGCGTCATGTCGATCGAGTCGGCCGGCGACTCGGACCTCCTCTCCATCACTGCCTAAAGCCCCTAGCGGCATCTGGCTTTGAGACGATTGGGGCGACGGGGCAAGGAGGTGGTGGTGGACGCGGGGTTGTAGATGCGCCTGGAACGAGAAGGGCGCGCCTTACACCCAGCGAAGAGGCTCCCTCTCCTCGTCACCGAGGGGAGGACCTTGGAGGGTCTCTCTCTCTCTCTCTTTCTCGTCGAGTATGCTGCGTTTCCTCTTCTTCTCGTCCCTCTCTCCCTCCTTCGCTTCTGTCTGGCGGTGCGCGCGAGAGCGGCGTGCGTGGTGGGCTTCGCCCTCTCGCTCGAGTCGCCCTTGCCTTCGTCACGGTCGGGCCTTTCTGTCGTAGCTCCTGTATCGCGCAATGCAGTTCCTCACGATCCTCTTGGTCTCGTGCGAGTGTCGAGCGAGCACCTCGATAGAAAGAGAGAGCACGGGTCGAGCAGGAGCGAGTTGAGAAGGCCGATTCAGGCCCGCTCGGACCTCGTTCTCGAGCGCTCGCGGCTGCTTGCGGTCCTGGACTGTCGCGTCGTTGCACTGTCTAGTAGTCCGAGTCGTAGACCTCGTCCCCACCCTCGTCCAGCTCGTCCAACTCGTCCAGCTCGTCGAGCTCGTCGTCGAACTCGGCGTCCGACACCGAGAGCTCCTCCTCCTCCTCCTCGAGCTGGCCCTCGACCTCCTCGTCCTCGGCAGACACCTCGACATCGTCCTCGACGTCGTCCACCTCGACCGGCGAAAGCTCATCGTCGTCCAGCTCGTCCTCGTCCTCGTCGAGGTCCGGCTCGGAAAGCGCCCCTCCCTCCTCGTCCTCGTCGTCGACCGGCTCCTGCTGCCCCTCGACCTCGTCCTTGTCCTCGCTCGTCGACGCAACGACGCCGTCCGACTCGTCGTCCTCGTCGGCGTACACGCCGCTCGCACCCCCGCTCTCCTGCCGCTCCTCCTCGTCCTCCTCGTACCCTCCCGCCGCCGCCGACACCTCCTGCTCGTCCTCCTCGCGCTCCTCGTCGGCGTCGCTCGAGTCGCCGTAGACGCTGCCGGCCGCGACAGGCTCGCGCTCGTGCTCGTACTCGTGCTCGTCCGGCTCGAGATTGAGCTCGTCGAGCTCGTTGGCGAGGGTGGAGGGGTCGTCTGTGGGGGCCAGTCGGGCCGTCGCGGAGGGGAGAGAGTGCAAGGGAGAGAGGGGCACGGTAAGCTCGAGATCGCGCGCGCGAGAAAGGGGAAGCGAAGGAGAGAGAGAGGACGCACCGGAGCTCTCCTCGTGCGCACGAGCCTCGCCCCCGCTCTCGCTCTCAGCTTCGTCCTCGGCGACATGCTCGCCGCTCGCGAGTGCACCCGACTCGCTCGAGACCTCGTACTCGTCGTCGGCCGGCGTCGCAGGCGCGTCGCGGTAGCTGCGAGCGAGGCGAGGGAAAGGCGGGGAGAGGGCGACAAGCGTCAGTGCTGCGTCTTCCGGACGGACAGGGCTTGCTCTACGCGCTCAAGGAGGCCTCGTCTCGCTCTCTGCGGCTGCAGCGGACCGCCTCATTGCCGGGCGCCGTCCCTCGCGCTCGAGCTGCTCGGCTGCTCTCGCTCGCGGCGCACGCTCGATGGGCACGGACGGCACGACCTTTAGTTCCACTTGCCCTCGACGGGCACGAGGGGTCGACTCGAGGGACAGTACTGATGGGGAGGGACGCGAGGCGAGGGAGGGGATGCACAGAGGAGTGAAGGAAAGCGGGTCGGGGGGAAAGCCAGAGGGTAGGGGGACCGCGAGGGAGCTCACTGCTTGCCCGAGTTGCCCGACGAGGTCCAGCCGCTGCCGTCCGACTTGGTGTACGACGCGTAGCCGTCGCCCGAGTTGTAGTCTGCGCGGCGAGGAGGCGGGAGGGTCAGCGTGGTCGAAGGCATCACGTAACGCGACGGGCGCTCGAGGAGAGCGCACGTCACGAGAGAGAGCGCGCAGGACGCACACTTTGAGCCGTCGCTGTTCGAGTAGGCGTACGAGCCGTCCTGGTTCGAGTCTGTCGCGTCGAGTGCGCACAGAGGAGGAGGCAAGAGCGAGTCAGTGCGCCGGCCACCGACCCGGAGAGAGAGAGAGAGAGAGAGGGACAAGGGGCGCACAGTGGTACGAGTTCTGGCTCGAGGCCGACGAGCCGTAGTCGCGCGAATCGTAGTGGTTGCCCTGCGAGTTGGTCCCGCTCGAGCTGATCGTGTACGACTGGCCAAAGTTGTCCGCTGCGCGGGAGGAAGAGGGAGAGGCAGTGGGGAAAGGAGGTCGAGCGAGGCTGTGCGTGCGTGAGGTCGAGGGCGTGCGCAGGCGGGGCGAGCGGGCGTGACGGCGGGCAAAGGTCGGAGGTGGGGAGGGGGACGAGGTGAAAAAGGTTAGCGCGGCGTCTTGTGTGGGTTGCGCAAGGCTGAGCGAGGACGATAAGCGCACTGGGCATGGTGCGAGTGCTGGTGCTGGTCTCGAGGTGGTGTGTGGAGGGAGAGAGAGCGAGAAGAAGCGTGACGAGCTGATGAAGAACTGTGGGAGCGAGCGGCCGCATTCAGCCTCGTCGCGCTCGAGCCCCGGCCACGCCGCAGACTCTCAAAGAATAACCTCACAGAGAAGCAACCAGAAGCGGCGAAGAGAGTACAACAGCGCACTGCGATTCCACCCGCTCTCGTCGCCTCGTTCTCCCCAACCCGGACCTCGCTCGCTCGCTCGTCCATCTGGAGCTAGGCCGCCGCACCTGCACCTGCACCCGCACCCTCGTGCACACCGGCGCCGCCCTCGAGAGCCGGCGGCGCTTCGACCTCGCGCTTGAACGCCTTCCACCGCTCAATCTCGTCGGGCTGCTCCAGGATGTCGAGCGGCTTGTGCAGCTGCGCGCGAGGTAGAGGAGGGCCGAGTCAGTGCGAGATCCTTGTCGAAGGGCGGCGAAGGAGAGGAGGGAACGCGAGGGACGTACAGAGAGGGCGATGCCGTCCCAGAACTGCTCCTGCGACCCCTCGGGGAACGCGCGCGGGTTCTCGCCCTTCTGCGGACGCGACGGCGAGGCAGACAGTCAGTGTCGAGATCACGGCGCCTTACGTGCGACGTCGGATCGCGATGACCCGCCGCACACGAGGACGAGAAAGCGCGAAACGAGGCCAACGCACCTTAGGCCTCCTTTTGCGGAGCTGGATGGCGCCGCCCAACTGCGCATAGTACGCGCCCTTGCGCCTGCCGCCGACCGTCGCCGGGCGCGCCTTGCGCTCGCCCTCGGTCGCGTCCTCGCCCGCGTCGAAGCTAAGGATGAACTCTTGCGTGAGCGCCCGCGTCGAGGCGACCTCGTAGTCGCGCACGTAGCGAAAGTCGAACGCCTGCGACCAGACAGGACATGACAGGAGTCAGTCAGTACGGCGCCTCTCGGGAGGAGAGAAATGCGGCAGAGACAGAGAGGACGGCCTGCGCGACGCACCTCGTCGGGCCCAGTCTCCTCGCCGGCGTACCGCTTTTCGGTGTAGGCGACGGCGTTCGGGTCGTCCGACGGGAGGTAGTACGCGACGCGGCCCTCGCCCTCGGGGAACACGGCCGACAGGTCGCGCATGAGGGCGCGAGGCAGTCGAGGGTCGGGACCGAGCCGGGGGAGCTCGTTCTGCGCGCGCACACAAGCAGACCATCAGTGACTGCTGCGACGACAAAGTCGCAGCGAGGCGCCGAGAAGGTGGAACGAGAGGGCGAGGACGCACCGGGCCCTGGTTTGCCGGGTCCTCGCCGAACCGGACGAGGTCGAGCTCGTTGGCCCACAGGTCGGCGTCGGGCAGGATGTCGAACGCCTCGACGGCCGTGACGCCCTGCTTGGTCGGGTGACGCAGCTCGGACAGGGGGACGTTGGCGGCCGTGAACGTGGCGGCGATGGCGGCGGCGCGGCCCGGGCGGTCCAGCGGGTCGAGAGCGACGTGGGCCTTTTTCGGGGTGCTGCAGGCACGAGAGGGGGGAGGGAACGGGAAGTCGGTCAGTCCGTGTGCGCCGTGTGTGAGGACAAGAAAGAGGACGAGGGAGACGCACCCGTTGAGCTGCTGCATGGCGAGCCTCGAAGGCCCGGCGTCGCTCGACAGGTACTCGGTCTTGCGCAGCCAGCTGACGTCGACCTTCTTGCTCACGTCGGTGATGTTGGCGCGGGCGGGCGTGCCCGGTGCGGCGCCTGGGCCGGCGGCGGCCGCGTTGCGCGGCGTGGGCTCGTCAAACAGGAAGGCGTCCTCGTCGGCTCGAGGTGGGACAGGCGCGTCTTGCGGCGGAGCGATGGCTGCGGGTGGTCGAGTAGGTGTCAGTCTACGCTGACTGTCGCGAGCGGGAGAGAGAGAGAGAGGGGCGCACAGGAGCGGTTGCCCATCCAGTACTCGCCATCCGGGTCGGCGCCCTCGGCAGGACGGCCGTACTCGAGCGGGAGGCCGAGCTCGGCGTCGAGGATGAGCGGGAGCTCGCGCTCGCCCTGGATCGGGGTGAGGAAGTCGTAGGCGGCGTAGCGTTGCGGGGTGGTCGGGACGTTGAGCAGGCGCGGCGGAAACGGTGGCTGCGAGGGGGCAGGCGGGTCAGGCGGTGGAGGAGAGGCAGGGTCGCGATGCTCTGGGTGGGACGCACTGGCGGGAGCGGGTTGGAGAAGCGGACGCGGGCGAGGAGGGTCGCCTTGGACCTGGGCGGAGGAGGAGAGGGTGAGTACAAGGGGCGCGAGTCCGAGCAGGCGAGGAGGAGGGGACGCACTGCTTGCCCTCTGCAGCCATCGTGAGCTTGATCGGGTTGGGCGTGGATCGGGTGAAGCGGGGAGGACGACAGACGACGAACCGAAGCGACGAAGACGAGCTGATGGCGGCCCACTCGCCTCGCGCCTCGTGTGGCCGGCCTGATTAGTCCAGCAGCTCGACTCGAGCTCTGCGAGCTGCCTCGCCTTGCCTCTGCGGCACCGCGAGCCGTGTGACGAGGGCCCCCTCGTCTCGTCCTCCTCGAACCAGCTCTCGCTCTCTCGCCTCTACCTCCGCACGGTCTTGCTGCCGTTGTGCGTTACTGCACGCTGCAGACAGATTAGCGCCGTCGCCTGCTACGACTGGCCCGGACCTCCGCACACTCGCACACCTCGCCCCCCTCGTCCCCACACCGCGACCGTCTTGCTCCCCAGACTCGCCGCTCCACGGCACGAGCGATGTGTTTTGCTCCCGTCGGCGACGACAAGGTCGTCGGGCTTCCCGGCGGCAAGCCCCTCTTCATCGACCAGGGCGACACGCGCGTCGCCGACTCGTCCCGCGAGGCCATTGTCTGTGCGTCCCTCGTCTCCCTCTCTCTCTCTCTCGCCGTGCCGGTATTGACGGACGCTCGACCTCTCGCCGGTACACGTCAACTCCTCGCCCGCCGCCGCCCCTCGCAGTCCTTCACGGCCTCGGCTCCTCGCACTCGTTCTACTCGGCCGCCCTTCCGCTCTCGCGCCTCTCGGCCGCACCGCACCCGTACCGCCTCGTGCGCTACGACATGGACGGGCACGGCCTGTCGCCCGTCTCGCAGCTCGACACGGCCGACGACGCTGGCATGCTCGCCGTCGAGGACCTTGTCGAGGACCTCGCCGCCGTCCTCGAGCGTGTCGGCGTCGACCGGGTCCGGGCGCTCGTCGGGCACAGCCTCGGGGGCATGGTCGCGTGCGCTTTTGCGGCGAGGTACCCGGACAAGGTCGACAAACTCGGTGCGTCTGCGCCTCTGTCTCTCTCTCATCGACGCACCCCTCCTGACTCGTCGTCGCACACCCAGTCCTCCTCGGCGCCATGCGCGCCCTCTCGCCGTCGCTCCAGACCCTCATGCTCAAGCGCGCTCACACGGTCCTCGAGCACGGCATGTCGGCCGTCGTCGACCAGGTCGTCGCGGCGGGCTTGTCGGAGCGCACGAGGGCCGACTCGCCGCTCGCTGTCGCCATGGTGCGCGCACTCGTGCTCGCGACCAAGCCCGAGGGGTACGCCGCAGCGTGTCGAGCCCTTGCCGGGGCGAGCGAGCCCGAGTACAGCCGCATCAAGGCAGAGACGCTCGTCGTAGCCGGTGCGCCCCCTTCTCTCTCTCTTTCGGGACCTCGGGCCGCACGAGAACTCAAGACTGACACGTTGCACGCGACAGGCGAGTACGACGTCCTCTCGGACGCAGCGACGAGCGACCACCTGTGCGACGAGATCCCGAACGCGCGCCGCGTCGACCTGAGCGGCGTCGGGCATTGGCACGCGGTTGAGGACCCGGCCGGCGTCGCGCGAGTGCTCGACGAGTTCTTGCTGTGACGAGTTTGGCGGCGCTGGAGGGACGGTGCGGCGAGCGCAGGCAGGTCGGGAGCGAGCGATTGGGTGGGGAGACGGTCGGGTTGCCGCTGGACGGCTCGTCGGTCGTCGTTGGGTCGCGCGACTGGTAGCTGGACGAGTGCATCGACGATCTGACGTCGCTCAGTCGGCCACAGAGGACGAGTGAGCTCGGAGACAGGGAGGAAGCCAAGTCACTGGTGATCGAAGCGGCTTCGGCAGTGCGAACGTCAACCTCGGGTGCTTCCTTGGTAGCTCGTTGGACCTCGTACAGCCCACGAGAGCTCGTAGTCAGGCTCACGCACCCGCGGAGAGGGAAGCAGGAAAGGAGAAACCCTCGTCGTCGTTCTCCCCCAACTCCTCGTCGCCCGGATCCTTTCTCCTCCCTCCACCACCTCTCACCCCCTCTGCGGGCTCTGGCACTTGCACTCTCGCCTTCCAGCACCTCTTCTCCCCCGGCTGCGCCCGTTCCCCCTTCCCCTCCACCCTCCGTACCCGCTCCCACCTCCCCCTCCCTCGACCCTTCGACCACCGCTTCCGTCATGCCGTGAGCTCTCTCTGCCTCGTTCGCAGCTCTTGCAGCACCCCACTGACTCTCTCTACCCGCCACGCCCACTCCCACGCCCCTGCCCCCGTTCCTCACCGACTTACCCACCTCCCGCCGCCCAACATCCTCATCGACACCGCCTCCTCCGACCTCGCCCGCCTCGAACCGATTCGATGCGGCGCCGCAGCTTCTCTGGAGTGACTGGTGCGACCAACGGGGCCAGCGTGCCTGCTGGCGACGCCGACGAGTACGAGTGGGACCACTCGAAGGTTGGCCACTTCATCGGTGCGTCGCCTCGTCCTCTTTGTCCGCCTCTTCTCTGCAGAGAGACAGTCACTGACGCAAGCTACACCTCCTGCCTGTCCGTCCACCGTCCTTTCCGCCGCCGCCGTCGCCCAACTCGACTTCCCTATCCCCCTCGCCCGCCCTGCCCCACCACTCTCTCTCGCCTCCGCCGACCGCTCCTGTCCCGCGCACGCCCTACCGACCCGACCTCCTACCTCGCACGACCCGACTATGCCAACCTCTTCGCCATGTCGTGCGCGCACGTCGTCTTCTACGCCGCCCTCGGCCTCGTTCCCCCACAGGCGGCAACTCGCTCGAGTCGGCGCCTCCTTCTCGTGTCGCCAACTGGGTCCGCTCGCGCGGTGGCCACACGGTCATCACCAAGATCCTCATCTGCAACAACGGTGCGTCGTCGCTTCTCTGTCACGGCTGCCTGCCGCCGTTCCGTCCGACTGACTCTCTCTCTCTCGCTCGACGCGTTCAGGTATCGCCGCCGTCAAGGAGATCCGCTCGGTGCGCAAGTGGGCGTACGAGACGTTCGGCTCGGAGCGCGCCATCGAGTTCGTCGTCATGGCGACGCCCGAGGACCTGCGCGTCAACGCCGACTACATCCGCATGGCCGACCAGTACGTCGAGGTGCCCGGCGGCACCAACAACAACAACTACGCCAACGTCGACGTCATCGTCGACGTCGCCGAGCGCACGGGTGTCCACGCTGTCTGGGCCGGCTGGTGCGTCCCCTTCTCGCTCGGTCCCTCTCCCCTTTCGCGCCTTGCCTTTCTCTCGATGTACAGCCAGACTGACGAGCTCCTCTCTCCACGCCTGCAGGGGTCACGCCTCGGAGAACCCTCGCCTGCCCGAGTCGCTCGCCGCGTCCAAGCACAAGATCGTCTTCATCGGTCCTCCCGGGTCGGCCATGCGCTCGCTCGGCGACAAGATCTCGTCGACCATCGTCGCGCAGCACGCCAAGGTGCCCTGCATGGACTGGTCCGGCACTGGCATCGACGAGGTGACGACGACCGACGACGGCCTCGTCACCGTCACCGACGAGGTGTACCAGAAGGCGTGCGTCCACGACGCCGACGAGGGCCTCGAGCGTGCGGCCAAGATCGGGTACCCGGTCATGATCAAGGCGTCCGAGGGCGGCGGCGGCAAGGGCATCCGCATGGTCAGCAAGGACGCCGACTTCAAGCAGTCGTTCCAGGCCGTCCTCACCGAGGTTCCCGGTGCGTCCACCGTCTCTCTTTTCAAGAGACCGCCCTCATCACGAGGACTCGCACTGACTCTTGCGTCGCTCCCGCAGGCTCGCCCGTCTTCATCATGAAGCTCGCCGGTGCCGCTCGCCACCTCGAGGTGCAGGTCCTCGCCGACCAGTACGGCAACGCCATCTCGCTCTTCGGCCGCGACTGCTCGGTCCAGCGTCGCCACCAGAAGATCATCGAGGAGGCGCCCGTCACGATCGCCGGGCCCGAGCGCTTCGAGGAGATGGAGAAGTCGGCCGTGCGCCTCGCCAAGCTCGTCGGCTACGTGTCGGCCGGCACGACCGAGTTCCTGTACTCGGCCGCCGACGACAAGTTCGCCTTCCTCGAGCTCAACCCGCGCCTCCAGGTCGAGCACCCGACGACCGAGATGGTGTCGGGCGTCAACCTGCCGGCCGCCCAGCTCCAGATCGCCATGGGCATCCCGCTCCACCGCATCCGCGACATCCGCACGCTGTACGGCAAGTCGCCGCACGGTCGGTCGCTCATCGACTTTGACTTTGAGAACCCCGAGTCGACCAAGACGCAGCGCAAGCCGGCGCCAAAGGGCCACGTCGTCGCCGTCCGTATCACGGCCGAGAACCCGGACGCCGGCTTCAAGCCGTCGATGGGCACCCTCCAGGAGCTCAACTTCCGCTCGAGCACGAACGTGTGGGGCTACTTCTCGGTCGGCTCGGCCGGTGGCCTGCACGAGTTTGCCGACTCGCAGTTCGGCCACATCTTCGCGTACGGCTCGGACCGCGGCGAGTCGCGCAAGAACATGGTCGTCGCCCTCAAGGAGCTGTCGATCCGCGGCGACTTCCGCACGACGGTCGAGTACCTCATCAAGCTCCTCGAGACCGAGGCGTTCGAGGACAACACGATCACGACGGCCTGGCTCGACAACCTCATCTCGATGCGCCTCACGGCCGAGCGCCCCGACACGACGCTCGCCATCATTTGCGGCGCCGCGACCAAGGCCCACCTCGCGTCCGAGGCCAACGTCGCCGAGTACAAACGCATCCTCGAGAAGGGCCAGACGCCCGCCAAGGAGCTCCTCGCGACCGTCGTCCCGCTCGAGTTCGTCATCGAGGACGTCAAGTACCGCGCGACGGCGTCGCGCTCGTCGCCGACGACGTGGTCGATCTACGTCAACGGCTCGTCGGTCGCGGTCGGCGTCCGGCCCCTCGCCGACGGCGGCCTCCTCGTCCTCCTCGACGGCCGCTCGTACACGTGCTACGCCAAGGAGGAGGTCGGCGCCCTGCGCCTCTCGATCGACTCGCGCACGGTCCTCATCGCCCAGGAGAACGACCCGACCCAGCTCCGCTCGCCGTCGCCGGGCAAGCTCGTGCGCTACTTCATCGAGAGCGGCGAGCACATCTCGAAGGGCGAGGCCTACGCCGAGATCGAGGTCATGAAGGTGCGTCGCCTCTTCCTCCTTCGTCGTCGTCGTCGTCGTCGTCGTCGCCGCCGTCGTCGTCGTCGTCGCCATACTCGAGAGCGCGCACTGACCCCTCCTTTGCCCGACTTTCACAGATGATCATGCCCCTCATCGCGGCCGAGGACGGCATCGCGCAGTTCATCAAGCAGCCAGGAGCGACGCTCGAGGCGGGCGACATCCTCGGCATCCTCTCGCTCGACGACCCGAGCCGCGTCAACCACGCCAAGCCGTTCGACGGCCAGCTGCCGCAGCTCGGCCTGCCGAGCATCATCGGCAACAAGCCGCACCAGCGCTTCGCCTACCTCAAGGAGGTCCTCGGCAACATCCTCGCCGGGTACGACAACCAGTCCATCATGCAGGCGAGCATCAAGGAGCTCGTCCAGGTCCTCCAGACGCCCGAGCTCCCGTACGGCGAGGCCAACGCCGTCCTGTCGACCCTGTCGGGCCGCATCCCGGCCAAGCTCGAGCAGGCGCTGCGCCAGTCGATCGACTCGGCCGCCGCCGGCGGCGCCGAGTTCCCGTCGCCCAAGCTGCGCAAGCTCATCGACTCGTGCCTCGACGAGCTGCGCCCGACCGAGGCCCAGACGATCCGCAACTTCCTCGTCGCGTTCGACGACATCGTGTACCGGTACCGCGCCGGCCTCAAGCACCACGAGTGGGCGACGCTCGCCGGCCTCCTCGGCCTGTACGCCGAGACTGAGAAGCCCTTCTCGGCGCGCGACAACGATGTCGTCCTCGAGCTGCGCGAGCTGTACCGCGACGCGCCCGACACGGTCGTCAAGCTCGTCCTGTCGCACTACAAGGCGGCGAGCAAGAACACGCTCGCGCTCGCGCTCCTCGACATCGTCAAGGGGTCCGACACGATCCCGCTCGTCGAGGAGGTCGTGAGCCCGGTCCTCAAGGAGCTCGCCGAGCTCGACTCGAAGGCGACGACCAAGGTGTCGCTCAAGGCGCGCGAGGTCCTCATCCACACCCAGCTCCCGTCGCTCGACGAGCGCCTCCACCAGCTCGAGTCGATCCTCAAGGCCTCGGTCACGACGACCGTGTACGGCGCCGTCGGGCCCTCGGACCGCACCCCTCGCGGCGACGTCCTGCGCGACGTCATCGACAGCCGGTTCACCGTGTTCGACGTCCTGCCGGGCTTCTTCCAGCACCAGGACCAGTGGGTCGCCCTCGCCGCGCTCGACACGTACGTGCGCCGCGCGTACCGCTCGTACAACCTCATCAACCTCGAGCACGTCGAGGCCGACGCCGCCGAGGACGAGCCGTCGACGGTCGCGTGGTCGTTCCGCATGCGCAAGGCGGCGAGCGAGTCGGCGCCGACGACGCCGACGACCGGCCTCACGTCGCAGCGCACGGCGTCGTACTCGGACCTCACGTTCCTCCTGAACCAGGCCCAGAGCGAGCCGATCCGCTACGGCGCCATGTTCTCGATCAAATCGCTCGACAACCTCGAGCGCGAGCTCACGGCCGTCATGCGCCACTTCCCCGACTCGGGTCGCGGCAAGATCGAGCAGGCGCCGCAGGCCCAGTCGAGCCAGGACTCGTGGAACGTCGTCAACGTCGCCCTCACCGTGCCCGGCCAGGCCCACGACCTCGACGAGGACGCGCTCCGCGCCCAGTTCGCCCACGTCATCAACGCCCTGAGCGGCCAGATGGACCGCCACGGCATGCGTCGCCTCACGCTCCTCATCTGCCGCGAGGGCCAGTACCCGTCGTACTACACGCTCCGCAAGCAGGACGGCCAGTGGAAGGAGCTCGAGACGATCCGCGACATCGAGCCGGCGCTCGCGTTCCAGCTCGAGCTCGGCCGCCTGTCCAACTTCAACCTCGAGCCGTGCCCCGTCGAGAACCGCCAGATCCACATCTACTACGCGACGGCCAAGGGCAACTCGTCCGACTGCCGCTTCTTCGTGCGCGCCCTCGTCCGCCCGGGTCGCCTGCGCGGCAGCATGAAGACGGCCGACTACCTCGTCAGCGAGTCGGACCGCCTCATCACCGACGTTCTCGACACGCTCGAGGTCGTGAGCGCTCAGCGCCGTGCCGCCGACGGCAACCACATCTCGGTTCGTCCTCCTCTCTCTCGCTTCCTCCCTCCTCCCTCCTCCCTCTTCCCTCCTCTCGTCCTCTCGTCCTTCTCTCTCTCTCCCCTCGCACTGTCGCCTAGCCGTCAGCGACAGCCACTGACTCTCGTCCCCTTCCTTGCGCACGTTCCCCCCTCGTTCAGCTCAACTTCCTGTACAGCCTGCGCCTCGACTTTGAGGAGGTCCAGACGGCCCTCGCCGGCTTCATCGACCGCCACGGCAAGCGCTTCTGGCGCCTGCGCGTGACGGGCGCCGAGATCCGCATCGTCATCGAGGACGCCCAGGGCAACATCCAGCCGATCCGCGCCATCATCGAGAACGTGTCGGGCTTCGTCGTCAAGTACGAGGCGTACCGCGAGGTGACGACCGACAAGGGCCAGGTCATCCTCAAGTCGATCGGCCCGCAGGGCGCGTTCCACCTCCAGCCGGTCAACTTCCCGTACCCGACCAAGGAGTGGCTCCAGCCCAAGCGCTACAAGGCCCACGTCGTCGGCACGACGTACGCGTACGACTTCCCCGACCTGTTCCGCCAGGCGATCCGCAAGCAGTGGAAGGCGGTCGGCAAGACGGCGCCCGCCGAGCCGCTCGTCGCCAAAGAGCTCGTCCTCGACGAGTTCGGCGTCCCGCAGGAGGTCGCGCGCCCGCCCGGCACCAACAACATCGGCATGGTCGGCTGGGTCTTTACGATCTGCACGCCCGAGTACCCGTCGGGCCGCCGCGTCGTCGCCATCGCCAACGACATCACGTTCAAGATTGGCTCGTTCGGGCCCGACGAGGACCGCTACTTCTTCGCCGTGACCGAGCTCGCGCGCAAGCTCGGCTTGCCGCGCATCTACCTGTCGGCCAACTCGGGCGCCCGCCTCGGCATCGCCGACGAGCTCGTCGACCAGTTCAGCGTCGCGTGGATCGACGCCTCGCGCCCGGAAAAGGGCTTCAAGTACCTGTACCTCACGCCCGAGAAGCTCGGCGAGCTCAACAACAAGGGCGACAAGAGCGTCATCACGACCAAGGTCGACGAGGACGGCGAGACGCGGTACCAGATCACCGACATCATCGGCCTCCAGGACGGCCTCGGCGTCGAGTCGCTCAAGGGCTCGGGCCTCATCGCCGGCGAGACGTCGCGCGCGTACGACGACATCTTTACGATCACGCTCGTCACGGCGCGCTCGGTCGGCATCGGCGCGTACCTCGTCCGCCTCGGCCAGCGCGCCGTCCAGGTCGAGGGCCAGCCGATCATCCTCACGGGCGCCGGCGCGCTCAACAAGGTGCTCGGTCGCGAGGTCTACTCGAGCAACCTGCAGCTCGGCGGCACGCAGATCATGTACAAGAACGGCGTGTCGCACCTGACGGCCGCCAACGACCTCGAGGGCGTCCTCAGCATCGTCCAGTGGCTCTCGTTCGTGCCCGAGTCGCGCGGCGCGCCGCTCCCGATCCTCCCCTCGGTCGACTCGTGGGACCGCACGATCGAGTACCAGCCGATCAAGGGCGCGTACGACCCGCGCTGGTTCCTCGCCGGCAAGACGGACGAGACGGACGGCCGCTGGCTGTCGGGCTTCTTCGACAAGGGCACGTTCCAGGAAACCCTCAGCGGGTGGGCCCAGACGGTCGTCGTCGGCCGCGCTCGCCTCGGCGGCATCCCGTTCGGCGCCATCGCGGTCGAGACGCGCACGGTCGAGCGCATCGTGCCCGCCGACCCGGCCAACCCGCTCTCAAACGAGCAGAAGATCATGGAGGCCGGCCAGGTGCGTCCTCTCTCTCTCTCTCTCTCTCTCTGTCGTCCCTGCCCGTCCTCGACGCCGTCACTGACCTCGTCGCCGCCGTCCTGCAGGTCTGGTACCCGAACTCGGCCTTCAAGACGGGCCAGGCGATCGCCGACTTCAACCGCGAGGGCCTGCCGCTCATCATCTTTGCCAACTGGCGCGGCTTCTCGGGCGGCCAGCAGGACATGTTCGACGAGGTCCTCAAGCGCGGCTCGCTCATCGTCGACGGCCTCTCGGCGTACAAGCAGCCCGTCTTCGTCTACATCGTGCCCAACGGCGAGCTTCGAGGCGGCGCCTGGGTCGTCCTCGACCCGTCGATCAACAACAACGGCATGATGGAGATGTACGTCGACGAGACGGCGCGCGCCGGCGTCCTCGAGCCCGAGGGCATCGTCGAGATCAAGCTCCGCAAGGACAAGATCCTCGCCCTCATGGACCGCCTCGACCCGACCTACCACTCGCTCAAGGCCAAGAGCACCGACGCCAGCCTCTCGCCCGCCGACGCCGCCTCGGTCAAGACCGACCTCGCCGCTCGCGAGAAGGTCCTCCTCCCGCTGTACCAGCAGATCGCGCTCCAGTTCGCCGACCAGCACGACCGCGCCGGACGTGTGCGTCCCTCTTTCCTCTTCTCCTCGTCGTCATCGTCGACGGCCGCCTCGTTTCGAACCCGTACTGACCTCGTCGGTCCTCCCCTCCCCTCGTTGCAGATCCTCGCCAAGGGCTGCGCTCGCGACAGCATCGTCTGGAGCGAGGCTCGCCGCTACTTCTACCTGCGCGCCAAGCGTCGCATCCTCGAGGAGGCCGCCATCACCCGCATCGCCGCCGCCAACCCGTCGCTCTCGCGCGAGGACAAGCTCGCCTACCTCGCCCAGGTCATCCCGGCCGACGTCGACCTCTCGAGCGACGCCGCCGTCGCCGACGCCCTCGAGAAGGCGGCGAGCGACATCACGGCCACGGTGCGCACGGCGCGCACGTCGGCCATCGCCGCCCAGATCGCGTCGCTCGCGACCGAGGACGGCGCCGCCTTCGCCGAGGGCCTTCGTGCCGCGCTCGGCGACAAGCTCGACGCCGAGACGGTCGCCAAGCTCCAGCAGGTCCTTTCGCAGTAGTAGATAGACTCGTTTCCCTCTCTCTCGTTCTCGTTCTCTCTCTCTCTCTCCCTCCTCTTGGTTCTCTCTCTCTCTCTCGCGCGCTCTCTCTCCCCTCTGCCCCTCTCTCCCTCTTTCTCTCTTAGTACCCCCGTCTCCTTCCTCTTCCCTACGGTCCTTAGGGCGCCGCGCGCCTCTCTCTCCTTCCCTTGGCTAGTCACGTGAATACGTCTCTCTGCAACCGGTTCTCTCTCCTTGGTCCATCTCCTCGTCCTCCTTGTCACGCCGAGAGAGCTGCGAGCGCGCACGAGCGTCGGCGATTGCGATGGCGCTGGCGAGGGAAAGTGACGACAGCTTCCCCTTGAGCAGCTTTTGAGTGCGAGGCGCGCGCGATTGACATGTACATCGGAGCTCTCGCCGCCTGCTCTGCTCGCTCCTCGCATGCCGCCGCGACCACGACTCGCAGAACGCGTCTCTTCAAGCTCAAGGCTCGGCGACGCGTCGCCCTCGGACGCTGGCGATGCCGCCGAGCGCCAGTCGACGATGAGCTCGCTCGGCGGCGCCGCTCCTGAGCCGCATCGTCCTGCTGTACCGCCTCTCGCTTGCATGCGCTTCTCGCCGCGACCTTGCGTCAATCAAGCGCTCGTCGATGCGCTCGCTCCGCTGCGAGAATTCAGGATGAAGGAGTACGGCCGTGCGTCTCTCCTCCTCGCGCCTCGCTTCCCACGGCCTCGGTCGCCGCCGAAACGAGCACTGACACGTCGCTCGACCGCTCCGAACCCTCAGCAAGCAGTCCTGAAGCGATCTCGTACGCGACCGCCCTGTCGGCCATTATCGCCTGTCCGTACAAGCTGCGGTCGGGCGACGAGGCTCGCGCCCTGTTCAAGGTGCGGCCCTTCCAGCCTTGCTTCTCGCTGCTCGGCACGACTCATACGTTCTCACCTGCAGGTCGGCGAGAAGCTGGCGATCAAGGTCGACGAGTTCCTCGAGACGGGCCGCGTCAAGGAGGCCGGTGCGTCGCTCCTTCTCGTCCTCCCTCTCGCCCTCTTTCGTCACACCCGGACGTCGTAGCTCACGGTCGAGCACCCGCAGACGACCTCGAGCATAACGACCGCTACCAGGCCATCAAATCCCTGATGACCGTCCATGGCATCGGCCACCACGGCGCGCGCGATTTGTACTCGCAAGGGTTCCGCTCCGCCGAGGACATGCGCAAGAGCGGGCGGTGGGAGAAGGAGTTTCGCTATCACGACGACATACAGCATCCGTGGGTCCTCTCTGTGCGCCTACGCCGAGACGAGAGAAGTGCGAGTAGGTGACTCACGCCCGCTCGTCCTCCCTGCAGGATCCCACGAGCCGAGGTCGAGAGCATTGCGCGCTTTGTGCAGCTACAAGTCGACCGCATAGAAGGAGGGTCGCACATGGTCATCTGCGGCGGGTGCGTCGACAGCTCTTTCTCGCTCGTCGACGTCCTTTTGGCCGAGGAGGCCTGACCGTCGTCGTCGCGCTCGCAGATACCGGCGAGGCAAGACGATGTCGAACGACGTCGACCTCCTTATCACGTTGTGCGTGGCTCTCTCTGTCTCCCTCGCTCGACGCCGCCTGATCTCGAGGTCCGTGCGCACGCAGCCCGCACCAAGACGGCAAGGAACGAGGGCTTCTCCGCCGGCTCTGCCACCGTCTCGAGGTCAAAGGTGCGCCTCGCAGCATTCTCACATGCCCTCTCTCGCACTCTGGACCGTCCTGACGCTGCCCTTCCCTCGACCCGGGAGCAGGTTTCATTCCGCCCGACGGCATCCTCTCCTTCTCCGAGCCGGCGACACTGCGCTCGACTCGCGAGAACAAGCGCGCCGGTTCGTTTGACGCGCTCGACAAGGCGCTCGTCGTCTTCAAGCACGTTGCGAACAGCACGACGAGGCCGAGAGACCACTACCGCCGCGTCGACCTCATCGTGACGAGGTGGCCGAGCTGGGGCGCAGCCGTCGTCGGGGTGAGCCCTCTCGAGCACGTTTCGTCTCGTCCAGTCGACGTTCAGAGACTGACGCGGGCGCCATCGTCACGCAGTGGAGCGGGTCGACGCAGTTCGAGCGCGACTTGAGAAGGGCGGCCGAGAAGCTGTGCGTGTCCTCTCGCTTTCCCTCTTTCGCGAGCGACGGGGCCACAAATGATCCCTGACACACCTCTCGTTGCGAGCGAGCAGAGGCTACAAGTTTGACTCGGGCGGGCTTCGCGTGCGCGGGACGAACGAGGTGGTGCCGACTGCGCACGAGCGTGACGTCTTTCGAGCACTGAGTCTGCCTTGGATCCGTGCGTCGACGCTCTCTCTCTCGACGTACTCCCAGCGACGAGCCGACGACCTGACCTTACGCTCCGCCGCAGCACCCAACATGCGTAACGCCGACCCGTAGATGATGACGAGGAGGACGAGAAGGACGGTCGAGGCGGCTCTCGATGGGAATGCAAGGATACGTCACTTGCGACACGATGCGGAACATGCGAGAGAGCGACGGTCCCAAGGCTCTGCGTGCCGCCCATCGTCTGCGAGCGAAAGAGGAGGTCAGGCTCGACGACGGCGAGAAACGGGAGAGCCGAAAGAAAGAGAGCGAGAGAACGCACCTCGGCCACGCCGTTCTCTATCCTCCCTTATACCGCCTGCGCCTCGAGCGCCCTCGCTCCCGCATACTGCTGGTCCCAGTAGAGCAACGCCGTCTCGCCCTCGTCCACCTCCGCCTCGCCGAGCTTGACGCTCTCGACTCGCGCGATGAAGAGCTCCGACCGCGGCTGATCGTCCTCGACACCGACACTCGCCTGCTCCTCGACGCCGACACCTGCCGGGCCTGCGCCGAGAGGCGAGAGCGGCAGGCGCTGCACGACTCGGCAGTCGAGCGAGCCGAGCCCGGTGCGCTCGAGCTCGGCGAACAGCGCCGGGTCGAACTGGGCCATGGGGGGTGGTGCTGATGGCGATAGTGGTGCGCCTGGGTCAGGAGAGGTGGGTGGAGAGGACGAGGGAGGGGGAGAGGGTTGCGCCTTGGCGGGGAGCGGGGCCTGCCGCGCGAACGCTCGCGCGAGCGGCTCTTGGCGAGTCGACAGGAGGTGGACGCGAAAGGTGGGCTCGACTGGATGTGCGTCGCCCCGTGCCGAGGTTGTCGGGGTCGAGAGGAAGGCGGCGAGGCGAGAGGGGAGGCGGAGCGAGAACGAGACGAGCGGCGGCGACAGCGAGATGCTCGCGAGCGACGACAGCGTCGCGCCGTGGTTGTGCAGAGGCTCTTCGCTCGCTGTGCCCGCGCTCGGTGCCGGGCTCGTCGCGGTGGACGAGGGGATGTGGGCGGTGATGACGGCGACCGGCTGCGCGACGCGGCGGAACAGCTCGCGCTGCAGCGGCGAGGGGAGCGAGGCCCTAGTGGTGGTCGACTGGGTGCGTGCGAGCCATGGCTGCAATGGAAGGCGCAGTCGCCGCGACATGGTCGGCGCGGAGAGCGAGTGGCTCACGTGCAAGTTCAAAGTCACGCTCTCTCACTCTCGCTCTCGGTGCGCGGTTGTAGGAGACGATGCAGAGTTGCACAGAGGCACGGGCACGAATTACGGCACCGGCTAACGAGGGAGAGGGGGAGCTAGACGAGGGGAAGTAGAAACATCGAGGGGGTGGATCCAGAGCTAGTGATGGCAGAGAGGGGCGACGCAGGGTCACCGAGGTGTAGGAGTGGTACAGACGCCTTCTCGGACGTGAGGGAGGAAAGGGAGGGCAAGAGAGGGGAGGGGCGAGGCGACTCAGAGCTCGCGAGGCGCCTCCTTAACCGGCGGGAGCGTCGTCGCGTTGCTCGGCGAGCGCGAGTGCCCGCCTCGCGGGTTGCTCGGCCCGAGCTGCGCCGCACCCTTGTCGACGAGCTGCTGCGTCGACAGGCTCGGGTCGTGCGCCGCCGGGTCGGCGAGCGAGCCCTCGGGCCGCCACTGGCCGCCGACCGACGCAAACACGAGCGACGGCGCGATCGCCATGAGCATCGTCGGCTGCATGTCCATGTCGCGCAGCTGCTTGTGCGCGCTCTTGGTGCGGCGGAACCGGATAATGTTGCTCGCGCGCGCACGGCCGCCGCGCACGGTCGAGTAGATGCGCAGGCCGTCGATGGCGCGCTGGATGCCCTCGGCCCACTTGCGCTCCTCGGCCGCCTTGTCGACGTTGGGGAGCTCGTCGGCCTTGGACATGTCCGGGTACAGGTGGAGCTTGACCATGAGGCGCTCGAGCGGGCCGGGCGGGAGCGTGCGCAGGAAGGCCGCCCACGGGATCGAGCACAGGCCGATGATGACCGAGATGGCCCAGTACTTGCCGTCGATGCGGTGCACCTGGAACGCGGCGCCGCCAAAGTTGACAATGAGGGCCTGACCGCCGACCACTGCGAGGAGGACGAGAGTCAGTCGGGTCGCCCGAGGTGAGGTGACGACGAGGGCGAGCAGCGGGACGCACTGATGAAGAAGATGACGATGAAGTACGGGTTCTTGTGGACACGCGAAAAGATGTTGTAGTGGCGGTCGAGGCGACGGCAGTTGAACATGTTGACTGGCGAGAAGGGAGGAAGGGAGGTCAGTCGGCCGGTCTCTCTCGACGACACGAACGACGAGAGAGATAAGGCGCACAGATTTGCGAGAAGACAAAGGCGTTGAAGATGAGCGTCTTGAGGTCGTTCTCCTCGTTGATGCGCTCGGCCTCGTCGGTCGCGTTTAGGCCAAGGATCTGGTGCCCGGCAAAGTTGAGGACGAGCGCCGGGACCGTCTTGAACAGGGCCTGGCCGAGGATCATGACCCACATGTTGATGCTGATGAGCGGCGCCGTCTTGCGGTCCGGCTGGCGGTCGAGCGACTCGGGGTCGGCCGGGTCGGTCGCGAGGGCGAGGGCGGCAAACGTGTCCATGATGAGGTTGACCCAGAGGAGCTGAACGGCCGTGAGGACCGACTCCTCCTCGTCCGAGGCGACGGCAGAGACGAACGTGATGACGACGGCGCAGATGTTGACCGAGAGCTGGAACTGTGGGTCCGTGCGGGGAGGCAGGGGTCAGTACGTGGTCGCGCTTCAACGACCGCCGCCGCCGCCGCCGCCGACGACGACGACGAGAGAGAGAGGGACAGAGAGACGCACCTGGAGGAACTTGCGGACCGAGTCGTTGACGCAGCGTCCCCACATGATGGCCGACACGATCGAGGCAAAGTTGTCGTCCATGAGGATGATGTCGCTCGCCTCCTTGGCGACCTCGGTGCCGGCGATGCCCATCGAGAAGCCGACGTTGGCCGTCTTGAGCGCAGGACCGTCGTTGGTGCCGTCGCCCGTGACGCCGACGACCTCGCCCATCGACTTGAGCGTCTCGACGAGCACCTTCTTGTCCTCGGGCGACGAGCGCGCGAGGACCTGCAAGTTGGGGACGACCTCGAGGCGCTGCTGAGGCGACAGCTTGCGGAAGACGGGGCCCTCCATGATGATGCCGCCCTTGCTGAAGATGCCGCACTGGCTCGCGATCGAGCGCGCCGTGAGGACGTTGTCGCCCGTGCACATCTTGACCATGACGCCGGCGCGCTGGCACGTCGCGACGGCGGCGGCGACGCCCTCGCGGAGCGGGTCCTCGATGGCCGTGATGGCGATCAGGGTCAGGTCGCGCGCCATGTCGTCGTAGTCGACCTCGCCCTCGGCGTTGACCTGGGCGCCGGCCGGCGGCCAGCTCGGGAAGTCGCGCGAGCACAGGGCGATCGTGCGCAGCGACTGGCACGCGTAGAAGATGATGGTGCGGCTGATGTTGGCGCGCGTCTCGTCGTCGAACGCCTCGGTCTCGACCTCGGCGGCTTGGTCGGCGGCGTCGGCGCCGTGCTCCTGGACGACGACGTGGCGGGTGGCGAGCTTGGCGAGGACCTCGGACGCGCCCTTGAGGAACAGGCGGTAGCCCTGCTTGCCCGGGAGGCGGACGACGACGCCCATGCACTTGCGCTCGGACGAGAACGGCACCATCTGGACGACGTCGGCCGCCTCGCGCACCGCCTTCCAGTGCTCCCACCCTTGCGCCTGGGCCCACGACATGAGGGCCGTCTCGGTCTTGGACCCGACAAAGCCGCCCTCGGCGCCGTGCTCGTCGGTGCCCTCGAACGCGGTCGAGTTGACGACGACCGACTCGTTGAGGAGCTTGCGCAGCGCCGCCGGCACGTGCTGCTGGATGTCGCCCATGTCCGAGGTAAAGTCGAGGCGGCCCTTGCGCTGCGGGACGACGTCGAGCTGCTGCTGCTGCTGCTGGTCGCGCTCGAGGTCGGCCGCCTTCTCGTCGTTGTCGTCGTGGCCGCTCGCGCTCACCTTCTCCGGGTCGCGGTCGTCGTTGGCGTTGGTGCGGGCCGAGTTCTCGTCGAGGCGCGACACGAACTTGAGGTGGACGCCGATCGAGCCGGCGACGACCGTCATCTGGTTGGTCGTGAGCGTGCCCGTCTTGTCGGTGCAGACGCACGTCGCGTTGGCCATCGTCTCGCACGCTCCGAGGACGCGCACGAGCAGGTTCATCTTGGTCATGCGGCGCGTCGCGAACGCGAGCGCGAGCGTGACGGCGAGCGGCAGGCCCTCGGGGACGGCGACGACGACGACCGTGACCGAGATGATGAGCACCGAGATGAAGTTCTGCGCCTTGTCGTCGGCGGTGCGGTCCGGGTTGGTGCTGAGGCCGACAAAGAACCGGATCATGAGGGCGACGAACAGGAGGAGACCGGCGGCCGAACCGAGCCACGCGATGAGCTCGGCGAGCGCGTTGAGCTTGAGCTGGAGCGGCGTGTCCTCGGCGTCGCCTTGAAGAGCTGTTGGTCGTGTGCGAGAGTGCGCGAGTCAGTGAGAGGCTGGCGAGGGTGCCAGAAGAGAGAGAGAGGGGGGGACGCACACATCATGATCTTGCCGTGGAACGAGTTGCGGCCGACCGACGTGACGACGTACCGACCGACGCCCTCGACGACCTTGGAGCCCGAGATCATGAAGCAGTCGGTCTTGCCGTTGCTGCCCTCCTTGTCGATGTCGTCAAAGCTCGCCTTGCGGACCGCGTCCGACTCGCCGGTCGCGCCCGACTCGTCGCAGCGCACGTTGTGGCCCGACAGGAAGACGCCGTCGACGGGCACGATCTCGCCCGGCTCGAGGAACAGGATGTCGCCGACGACGACGTCGTAGACCGACATGAGGCGCTCCTGGCCGTTACGGAGCGCCTTGACGTTGCGCTCCTCCTTCTGCGCGTTGAGCTTCTGGAACTGCTTCTCCTTTTGCCAGTCGTTGACCGAGCCGACCATGACGACGATGAGGATGGCGACGACGATGGCGACGCCCTCGACCCAGTCGACCGAGGGGAGCGTGCAGATGTTGGTCGGCGGGCACGACGTCGACGGGTAGGTCTCGGGCGGCGTGCCGAGGTCCTGGTACAGGCCGAGCGCGAGCGACACGACGGCGGCGACCGACAGGATGATGAGGACCTTGTCCTGCGCGGCGAGAAAGAGAGGGTTAGTGAGAGGTCCTCGGGTCGAGAGGAGAGAGAAAGGGCGGGGCGCACCGTGTAGGCGGCCCAGCACAGGGCGAGGAACGACTTGGGGACCTTGCCCGGAACGCGGTTCTCGCCGTAGACGCGCAGGCGGTCGTCGTACCCGGCAGGCTTGCCGGCCTCGGCGTCGGCGAGGCCGACACGCGGGTCGGTCTGGAGGCCCTCGAGGATGCCCGACGTGCCGCCGAGCGAGCGCAGGTGGTCGAACGACTTGGGGTCGACGAGGTTGTACAGGGCCGAGGGCGTCAGGTCGCGCGCGAAGGGCGCCATCTGGTCGGGCGAGGGGTCGACGATCTGGTACGTCTCGACGGGCTTGCGGGCGCGGCGCGGGAAGATGCCGCACACCCGACCGGGCTTCTCGACGGCCGTGTCCTCGAGGCCCGGGTTGGACGCGTCCTGGACGGTGCCGTCGCCCGCGAGCTGGAGGGGCTTGCCGGCGTGGTCGAGGCCGGCCTCGAGGTCGCGGGGCGCGCGTGCGGCGCTCGTGCCCTTGGCAAAGTGCGTGTGGCTCGAGTCGGACGAGGCGGCGTCGGGGATGGTCGAGGCGAACGAGGGCGCCTGCGAGGGGCGGCGGTGCGACCGGTCGCGGTCGCCGGCGGCGGCCTCGACGGCTCGGCGTTTGCCATCAGGCTGCGAGCGAGAGAGGGTGTGTCAGTGACGGTGTCCTCGTGGGCTCGAGAGACAGGGGCTGCTGCTGAAGCGCGTCAGGCGGGCGATCCCGCCTCGAGAGAGTGCCAAGCCCCTGCGCCGCATGATGCTCAGGGCGAGGCCTATCTCGGCCGGCGCGCAAGGGGTCGCCGGGGCGGCGACGAGGGTGACAGGCGAGAGGAGAGGGTTGCTGCACCTCTGTGAGGGACATGGTGGCCCGCCCGGAGAGGTGAGAGGGGGCGAGGGCGAAGAGGGAGGGTGGGAAGGGGCGCGGGGGAGAAGAAGGGACCGCGAGGCGCGAGGGACGAGGA